GATGTTTTATATAAAACATACTGAAGAAGCAGAAGTTTATATTCAAATAAAATAGGTAAATTTATAAGGGATACTGGAATACCAAACTTGTTAGTTGAAACTGGTTTTAAACATTTTTCGTTCCAAGTATTTGGATACTCATGGTAATGTAAACACTAACCACTTCCTTTCTGGACTGCATTTTTTGCTTACTTGCAGGTCCCGAGACCGTAAAATGCATGCAAACACATGTCTCGAAGCGCTGAAAACCCATGGTGACTTTGAGTTATAGCCAAAAAGTGGTTATATGCTCCTTTCGAAGCAGTCAGTTGGTGGGTTAGTTCACAGATTTGAAGACAACGTCTTTAAGTTCACAAATGATCCAGATTCAAAGCTAAGGTAGAGTAGGGAAATCATGATGAGGAAAGATATTTGGAAAAACAAATATCCTGACAAGTATCTGGGGAGAATGAAGGGTATGAAATCTTTTGAAAGGAAACATTTTGGTGATGGAAAGGTGCTAATAGGCACTCTACACAACTGTTGAAAAAAGCAGAATGTAGCATCATGCAAATAACCTTTATTGATGACTGACGGCATCAGACATGAAGTTTGGCTATCAAAAACCGGATTACGAGTGGACTGCAATATAGACATGCTAAAGCAGCTTAGCAGCACATTCCACGAGGTCAATCGTAGTTCTGTCTCACCTTGACAACATATGCGCTGATTGAAAGTCGCTAATTCGCCCCTATTTATGCTGAATCTCCTCTTCGTACGTCATACGTTGATATATCGTTTTTATTTTTTTGATCATAGCTTGATTCCATACAGTATTTTGGTACAAGTATGGAATTTTCAGCGTGTGATATCGGTTGCCCAAATTCAGCAGGTCGACCATTGATATCAGGTGTGCGTCGGCCAGTGATAGAACCCCAGTTCATGTGCCTGGTCGGCGAGGGTTCTAACTGCTGTGCAACCGACACCCATCGTATACCACATAGTTGCATCTATTTGCACGCATGTTGCTGTTGATTGCAGTCGTAGTCAATCTAATACCACAACAGTTTCTTAGCACTCCTATAAGTATGACAGTTTAGAGGCTGCGGGTATCGATGATCGCGAATTGTACGGATTATACTAACGCAAGATCTTATACCAACAACCACTATAGTGTTCGTTCTTCGAGTACCAAATGGTAAAGCAAAAGACCAGATTTTGTCGTCCAAATACGATATATATTTTGGGACCAAATCGCGGGTAGGAATGAATGCTTAGCTAGCTAGTAATCGTGCACGCACGTGACACGACGGAGCACCAAATGGCGGGGATGCTTGACCGTAAGCCTTCAGCTAAACAAGTCGACTTAAACAGTGATGGTCAGCATCCAATGTTGAGTGATGATTGCTGTGGTTAATAATTTTGGGGAATTATTTACCGCTACAGCTCACTCCCCCCTAGTGGGTTTGTGAGGACCCTAAGACATGACCAGCCGGAAGGAAAAAAATCTCGATGGTTCCCTGATGGGTGAAAAAAATCTTCCGAGCGGCTTGATTGAGAGCCTGCTGGTCTGTCTGCCTATGCTAATAGGGTGTCTGTACACAGCTTCCTCGGTGTTGTTCGTTGGATCCCGTGCTTCGTTTGTTTCCTGTCCAGTGCCCATTGCACCTGGAAAAGAAAACAAGAATGCTGAGAACCTTGTCAAGAAAAATGTACCAAATAAGCGTTTTTTACCAAAAAAATATGACATGCATCTACTATACAGTAAAATAATGTAAAGTTCAAAATATCGGGAAAAAAAATATACATCTTATATAATTTTATGTACGGTTATAGGAAAAATATCATTTACTTGTGTTAAATGACGCAACATAAAAAACAATTGATGTGTCACTCAGTTATGTGAAATAGGTGTGAAGGTATTCTGGGAATCTAACGTGACGTCCAGAACGCGTTTTCTTAGAGTGATCGACCGAAGTAGCCAGTGGGCGAATGCCCTGACAGTCAATAGTGTGACTCAGAAAATCGAGTGAGTCAACGCCTATCTGACACTTCTGTATATTGATGGTAACACCATGTTGGCGTAACCTTTCAAATGCCAAGTCCAAGTGTCTAAGGTGAGTTTCCTTATCTGGACTGGCAATGAGGCAGTCGTCTAAGTATGCGTATACAAAGTCGAGACCGCGAAATACTTCGTTGATGAAGCGTTGGAATGTTTGGGCCGCATTCCGGAGGCCGAATGGCATACGTAGGAATTCGAAAAGTCCGAAAGGCGTGATGACAGCCGTTTTCAGAATATCTTCCGTTGCCATCGGGATTTGGTTATATGCTTTAACCAAGTCGATTTTGGAGAATATAGATGCTCCAGATAACGTTGCCGTCAAGTCGTGTATGTGAGGCAAAGGGTAGCAATCAGGAGTTGTTTTGGCGTTCACTCGCCGGTAATCACCAGTGGGTCGCCAATCGTTACTATCCTTTTTCGGTACCATATGCAATGGGGATGCCCATGGATTATTCGATGGTCGAATGATGCCAAGGGTGAGCATATGGTCGAATTCGTTTCTGGCAATTCTCAGTTTGTCAGGGGCCAGTCGTCGTGCTTTAGATGTCACGGGCTGTCCTGAGGTTATGATATGGTGCATAACATTGCTGGTTATGCACGGGAGATCGTTAGATGGGCAATTCAGTTCCGGATATTTGTCAACAATCGGTTGAAAAGTTGGATCGAGGATTGCTTTCATCTTAACGATTGACAAGCTGGGGCCTACGTAAGTTATGCCTTTGATAGACAAACTAGTAGTGTTGTCAATTATTCGTTTACGGCGGACGTCTACGAGCAAATCATGATGATTAAGTAAGTCCGTGCCAATGATGGGCATTGTGACGTCAGCGATTAGGAAAATCCACTGAATAGGTTTGCGTAAACCTACGTTCAGATAGACGTATTTCCGACCATAGGTTGCAATTGGTTTTCCATTTGCAGCCTGTAGGTTGAAGTTAGGATCCTTCTGTCGATCTGCTGCTGCAGCAGGAAGGACGCTGACTTCGGCGCCTGTGTCGACTAGATATCTAGTCTGGCTAATTACATCATGGATGTAAAGTAAGCGGCTAGTGCCACCGGCGACGGTTGCCGCTAACGCGTGCCGGCGGGATAGTTTCCCACAGACTTGGAGGCTTTGTCGAAATCACAAGGTTTTCGACAACATTTTGCTTCCTTGCCATAGGTGTTGTGATACCAACACCAGTCAGGATTTTTGAGAGAACGTGTGTTGGACTTAGATCGTCCACGTGCACTTTGCCGTTGAGGGGATTTAGAACGACGATAGGAGGAATTGCTAGGCTTGTTTGACCTAAGCATCTGCTGGACGGAGTTGATTAACTCTATCATTGCAGAATCCTTCTTCGAAGTCTGTTCGGTAACAGAGTATACTTCGGTAACTGGCCGTTTCGTTATCTCTAGAATTCTATCTGCAGAGACAGCTAAATCATCTATGAGAACACCCTGAAGTGTCACAAGTACAGTCTGAACTGACTGTAGGATTATTTTTATCCTACAGATTTAGTCCTCCCTCAATACTGACAACACAGAGTCTGGGCTTAGCAATAGTTAAAACAGAATAATTTGACTTTAACTTTATCTGTTTCTAAAACATAAAATAAATCATAAAATTACACCAAGAAAAATGTACAATCCACCGTCATTACAAAAAACGGACAAAAACGTACCGTACAGTATTGAAGGTACGGACAAAATGAACAGTCAGTTAATTACATGTATATACAAGTAAAGTGACAGACAAAAAAGAACATTCAAGGTCATCACGTGGTGAGAGTTACAATAAATCGACCAATAATCGCGATAAAAAAGGTCACATAATATTGATTGGTTGTTTATCATACAGTCTATCTATCTATCGCGATTAACACTGACTGTGGCAGTTTGGATAAAAATAGTTCTCTGAACAGTCCTTCATCGAACTGACTTTGGCCAATGATCTCTTTCATTCTTGCCAGCATGCTCACGGCTGACTGATCTCCTAACTCGATGTTACGAAATAACTCATCCAGACGTTGCCGATCTGTGAGAACGTTTCTCTTGAGGATGAATGCTTTTAGCAACTCGTACGAGTTACTTACCGACATCTGCAGAGTTACGCACTTGCTGAATTCCCGCGGTAGGGCGTGAATAACTGCAAGGAACTGTGAACGTTGATCAGTTATGCCATGTTCACAAAAATCAGACTCAGCAATCTGAAACCACGTTTCAGCATTATCTGGCCAAAATGGTACTAGCTGAATTGTTTTGGCGGTTGAGCGAATCTGAATAACCTTGGGGCTAGGATCACTCATGACGAAAAGTATGCCGATAACAATATAGTACAAGAATAAACACAAAAAGGAACGAACTCACCGGGTTTATCTGCGTGTGAATTGAAGATGTAGTTCGTGGTCGGGCTCACCAGTTTAGGGAGCTGTAGGTATCGACGTTCGCGAATTGTACGGATTATACTAACGCAAGATCTTATACCAACAACCACTATAGTGTTCGTTCTTCGAGTACCAAATGGTAAAGCAAAAGACCAGATTTTGTCGTCCAAATACGATATATATTTTGGGACCAAATCGCGGGTAGGAATGAATGCTTAGCTAGCTAGTAATCGTGCACGCACGTGACACGACGGAGCACCAAATGGCGGGGATGCTTGACCGTAAGCCTTCAGCTAAACAAGTCGACTTAAACAGTGATGGTCAGCATCCAATGTTGAGTGATGATTGCTGTGGTTAATAATTTTGGGGAATTATTTACCGCTACAACAGTAATGTGACAATCATGGTGTACATGGATGGATACCATCAGCTGGCATTAATTTTTCAAGGAGTTTATTTCATGAAAAAAATGGAAAGACCGCATATTTCCGTCTGAAAATCAAATAGAAGAGACTGGTATCAGAAATTTTGATGTTACTTGGAGTTTGTTTAATGTCTTCAATTCCTACGATGAGTGCATTTGACCCTGTGTAGATGCTTTGATTTACACGTTTCTTATGATGTGCGTTTTTCGCGAGTTTATGTGTGGGAATGAAACTATTGTAAGTTTCGCGAATATAATAATTTATTATCTTAGGATGAATGGGCGTATCAATGGAATCAAAGTTTACCAATTTTTCCTGAGTGTGAAGTCAATATTGTGTTTCCTATAGCCCTTGTTACCTTCGCGGTTTTCACGTTTCTCCCCTATTTTATTTCACTCGTAGTTTCAAAATCTAAATCTAGTCGTTTACCATCTTGCTTATACTTGTGTAAATTGGTAAGTCGTTTTAAGTCCTCATTTATTTTCAGGACCTAACTTTTCTTTGTTTGATTTTGAATGCTATTCGCGTCCTTTATATTGTATCCGAAACAAGAGACTTCTTTATTGGATCATATATCGGTTCCTTGTCTATTTCTGTTTCCTTGGTGAGTCAAAATTTTCCATTCATTTTTATGTACTTATTGCAATTAATTCTATAGCTGCTTAAATTTTTTAATGAAAATTATTTAGTTACACAAACATCCATTTGCTTTCCGTGTCTAACTAGACGTTACCTAAATTATGCAGTTTCAGTGGTAAATGCTGAGTTTAGCATTTCACTTATGTTTTCAAGAGAGAACAAAGAGTAATCATTTCTTTCATCACCTCTTTGTTGTCTTATGGGTTGCACTCTTAAATGGGAAGCAATACTCGCGACGATAGAGCCAAATAAAGAAAAGAATGATGTAGTCATATAACTCCATGTTCAGTTTAGTTATCATGAATTGTCCACTTAAATGTTTTATTCCAGGTCAGACCAAGTGTTAGTAAGTTGTTACTAAGTTTTGTACTCAAGTTTGTTTGCATCGAGTTAAAACAACTACTTGTTGGGCTTATCATTGTCCTTTGATATCAAATCCTTATTTTCACAGCACTTGCGTTCATGCACTTTATTTATAAGGTTTTCTTCTTTGGGTTTTGTTACTATTCAAGGATGTAATAGATGAGCCACAATAACTTTGGTAAAGTTGACATTTGTACACATCTTTTTTTCCTGAACATTCCATTCAAAACTCTTGAACGGTCGAAACTCTCGGAGTTCAGAATTTAGCCTAGTAAACGTACTGTGAATACTTTGCTACGAAAATCAGTAGAATACAATAATTAATTTGCTTAGAATTTTCATCTCTTTTGGGGTTATGGAGGTAGGCTAATGAGTGTAGGACATGTGACTGACCATTTTCGTGTTAGAACAACGATTAAACAGAGAGTTTGTGTACTGACTGTCTGACGAGACAATGTAAAATATTGTGCGAGAGTTTACCTGTTTAGTTTACTATATTTTAGAAAACCTTCAAGATGTGGAATAAAGAAATGCAGTGAAACCTCTATGAACAAAGATGTTCGAAGCAAAAATTTATCGTCAGAGATAAGTAAAGAATGTCGAAATATAGACAATTAAAAGGGGGTGAATACACCTATGGAATTGTAAGCGATTCTCAAACTGTTGTTTCTTACTGTCTTGAGAGTACCAATCAAACAATATACACCTCACTAGGCAGTTTGAAAAGATAATGGACGACTTCATTTCTTGGTGGCATCGTCTGGCCCGACAACTACTTCCTGAACTAGTCTTGTCCCAGGTAACGTTACTTGTCTACTTGGAATGCGTAACATGTGTTCTAGACAAAATCGATGAAGTTTTCCATGTTCTTCATTGATTTGTCCTTCTTCTGTAGCGCTTAAAGTTCACATTCGACACTGCGTACCATGTATAACCATCTAACGTAGCCAACAGACATCGGTAATTGCAATCCAGTACAACAATTTTTTTTGTATGTCCGTCGAGATTTTATCTTTCACCATGCGTTAGGGTTGGTGAGGCTTGCTGGATGACTGAAGTGTTTAATACTACCAGTTGTTTTCGTCTCACCCTTGAATGAGTAGGCATTAGAGACTAATTCTGTACCACTACCTTACCTTCGACAGTAGTAAATAGCAGGCCAAACATATTCAGAGATTTATTCAGGATGTATGAAAGATGCTGTACTCTGTCAGTTTCTTCTCTTTAAAGAATACTATTGTCCGAAAAATTTCTGGGATGAAACCTTCTTATAGTAAGGAACTAGTTTGTGAGTCACGTTCACTAATATGTCTACAATAAAATTAATTAAAAATTTATATATTCATTTTAGAAGGTAAGCCAGTCATTGAATAACGTTTTATGTGTGTGTCGACTGATTTTACTGATGGATTTGTCGAGTTAGGCTGTTTGCTAAGATGTGTTTGTATTCTTGATTTGGCAGTAGAGCGAAGTTACTAATATGAACACACTAAATCATTCGGACTTTCTGCACCATGCTTTGTATACCATGGGTGAGACATCCAACTATCCTTATTCCCCTCTTATGCGTCTTATTACTTACTACTGACGTATAAGTTGTTGGTTTATTGTTTAATTTGAAATGTTTTTGGTTAGTCCTACTGTCTTGCAAAGTTTCGTAACTTTTACTACTGATACAAGTTTGGCCAAGATTCTGGTTTGTTTTGTGATAGTGCTAGACTGGTGTTCTCAGCCCAAATAATCAGATAGTGTATACATATGACCCAGAAGTATGATGTGATGCTCAAGCCTTTGTCTTATGGGAAGCATAGTGATAAGTCACTCCACTGAATCGAAGTTATTGGAGTTCACGAAGGTTTATTCACTGAACTAATACCATCCAATCAACAGTATTTTTAATTTTCTCCTTTGCCACTCTCCTACTATATTTTAGCTTTTATACATCGCTGTACTGCACTATGAGCGCAAACGGAATTCTTTGAACTCCGCAGTTTGCTTCTTCTACCTAATATTACTGAATTTTGTGTGGATATGCAGATGTTGGAACCATACTGTGTTTTATATAAAGGTAAGAGTTTATGTATCTTGTAAGACCATGGTATAGTTTTAACTCATTATTCCGTTAACGTAGTTATCGTTCCAGTTAATAACAATTAAGAACAGACACTGTATCAGTGCAGCTATTGTTGTTTTTCTTGTATAATTTGAGTGTTTTTTCTTTCAAGTATTAGAAATTTTTCGTACTTATCTGTGTTTCCACCTTTTATAAACTAAACGGATAAATCTGCAATATTTAGTAGGTATGTTTAAAGTAGAGTTTTCAAGCGGCATAAATTGCAGCGTCAAAACATTCGATTTTCGGTTGGTTGCATCAGGAGTGCCTCAGTGAAATTATTCACTTACCAGGAAATTGAACGGAACTTACTGCAGTTGTTCTTCAGTACGAATATTATACTTTAAAAATTATGTTTTCCCACAACTTATGAGTTGCTGAACAATTGTTTATTGGATTTAATATGGTTTTGGAGGTGGTCAGGCGCTGTTTGATGTCGAATATATATATATCAATTACGAACCTTTTAAAATTAGCTAAGTTTCTATCTTTTGGTGTTAGTTAAGTGCTATATACTGGAGACAGAATGGAATACCTTTAAAGTCGACAGATCCACTTAATGAGTAATTTAGACACTTGTATATGTCCAAACCAAGTTCACTTTTTAGCAGTTTGAAAAAATTCGGGCATTGGGTATATGATATTCATTATAATAAAGGTTTTTTTGTATGTCCCAATGAATGAAAAAACAAAACGATATTGTTTTTACGGACATTCCGCTATTTGATGCTAATAGCTTTATCAAAGTATTATTTAACCTGAATTTACAAAATCTCAGCATATATGTAACAAAGAGTTAGGAGTCCATTATGGATAAGATTTTATTTTGATAAATCACACAGTGCTGTTCAGTAATATTAACTGATGACGTTTCAAGGATAAACTATTGCTCATAATCATGTCAAGAACTTGATATGATTATGAGCAATAGTTTATCCTTGAAACGTCATCAGTTAATATTACTGAACAGCACTGTGTGATTTATCAAAATAAAATCTTATCCATAGTGGAGTTATACTCTACCACAGTGCCCAAGCTTTATACTTATATCAAAGATTAATGAGATGAGAAAATAGACTTAGGTCAAGTTAAAGGGACATATTGAAGGTCAAAACAACAGTGAAAATCACTAAACCATATAGCAGAGGTAATAGTACATCTGCTATGGTATCAAAACAAACTTGATCATCGTTCCTCAGTATAGGGTCATTTTTCGTTGTCAAATTGGCTAATTGGTAACGCGCAAAATTGTAAAAACAGCGTGTGTTTACATAATGAAATTGCTTATCACATTCATGTTGATTTTGTCACTTCATGGGGGAGGGGGTGTTGTAACCAGGTCAGATTCCGTTTTAGTCCATCATTCCTGTTCAGACAATTTGGATTCCATTCGATATGAAGTACTTCTGATATTTGACGTTCTTTGTGATTTCTGAAGTGCTTTTTCTGGATTTAATTCAATTTTAGATTTTTCTCGTCGATTGATTGGACCGAAGTGCTCGGTCTCAGGTTGACATGTCGGCTTCTTGAGCAGATGCTTCGACGATGTCTGGGCATTTAATTGGTGGATGGTGACTAGCAGTGGAATCCAGGGTGCCCATTTCGTCCTATTTGGGACTCGTCATCTGGATGTACCTGCATTTCTCAGTGAGTGATGATGTTCCCACCGAGGCTCGAACCCAGTGCCCATAGTTTCCAACGCCAAAGCGTTATCCACTAGACCACTTGGGCCACGAGAGCCACCTCTTGTGCAACGGGTCATATTGATTTAATTCAATTTTAGATTTTTCCCGTCGATTGATTGGACCGAAGTGCTCGGTCTCAGGTTGACATGTCGGCTTCTTGAGCAGATGCTTCGACGATGTCTGAGCATTTAATTGGTATTTAATTGGTGGATGGGGACTAGCAGTGGAATCCAAGTGGTCTAGTGGATAACGCTTTGGCGTTGGAAACTATGGGCACTGGGTTCGAGCCTCGGTGGGAACATCATCACTCACTGAGAGATGCAGGTACATCCAGATGACGAGTCCCAAATAGGACAAAATGGGCATCCTGGATTCCACTGCTAGTCACCATCCACCAATTAAATACCTTTTTCTGGATTATTTCAATATTGTCAAATCAATTTTGTGGCTTTTTTCTATAGCGTGTAGACCTATGGCTGGTGATTTTTCAAGCTTTTCTAGTTCAACTGGATTTCTCCTTTGTTTGTCGAGCAGATGCTCTACGGTGTTTATTTCTTCTGATTTTGATTTCTCGGGATGTTTGTCCGGTGTATATCGCACCACATTCCAATCATTTTATTTTATAGACACATTTAGATAAAGAGTCTTAAGGGATTTGGTCTTTTATATGGACAAGGTTGTTTCACAGTGTGTCTGATGTTTTGAAGAAAACTCTGATGTCGTGCTTATTGAGTACTCTTCTGATATCTTCTGACGTCTCCGCTCTACATGGAATGACAGCTGCTGAGGTCCATGTTTTCGGAATACTTTTTGGAGCATACTTAATGTCAGTGTTACTTTTGTTGATGAAGTTTGTTGGGTAGTTGTTTTGATTGAGAGTTTTAGTAATGCTTGATATTTCTTCTTTTTCTTTCTCATCCGTTATCAGAGAGTGTGGTCGTCTAATAAGACTTGAAACAACTGATACCTTTGCGCTGATGGGGTGTGATGATCCGAAGTCTAAATATTTGTTTGAGTGGGTTTTCTTCCTGAATACAGACATACTAAAATGTCCGTTTTCCCTCCTATTAACTAGGCAGTCTAGAAATGGTAGTTCACCGACGTCTGATTCTGCTTCCGAAGTGAACTGGATTCTGAGAGATAAACAGTTTATTTTCTCCAGGAATGAACAGTGTAGATCTCGTTTTAGCACTACAAACGAGTCATCTACATATCTTAACCATATTTTAGGAGTGAGTATGCTTGAAAATATGTCATCTTCGAATCTGTTCGTGAAAAGGTCAGCGACTATTGGGGAGACTGGTGAACGCATAGCAACACCATTTGTCTGTCTATATAAACCCCCTTTAAATGTAAAATAATTACTTTCCAGACAGAATTTCAAGGTCTTAATTATTTCACTGGTGTCCAGTGGACATCTTTGTGATAGCGTTGTAGCGTTGATATTAACTCATTATATACTAGTATCCCTATTACCGAAAGTCTTGATATCATTTCCAGTCTACTAGAATCAGATTGCTGCCTTGATATGAATTTGGATAACTAATCATTTATGGACAGTTATACACTGTCATATCACCATTGACGTGGAGATAAACATTATCTTGATGTTTGTGTCGCCCTTTGATATAAATACATACATGTATATGTTGTTGCCACAGTTTGGTTTGTATCCATCTACATTTGTTATTAACCTTTGAACTTAGTGTTAATACTGCTCTTATTAAGTCAATCCTGCTATGATTGCTTTTGAGGCAGTTTCTACCACAGATTGCCATCAGCTAGAAGGTGGAGATAACTAGAGATTGCCAGACAGCTGTTTGTTTTTATAAATGTTTTTAGTTCTAATGTTGATGCATGATGAAAGCTGCTTCGAAATTGATCAGTTTAACACATTCCTGTCAACTGAATAAGTCTCATGTTTGCTTACGCTTGTTTTGTTACCTTGCTTCTTATTTCATGACTAACTATTGTATTCACGGTTAAATAGCATATAGTTCACCTTTCTTTTAAAACATCTCCCTCAATTTGCTACTTTGCATTGTGTATGCGTCTACCGGTGTATTGCATCCTAGTTTATGTAACCTAGTGTCTACAGAGTACGGCTAAAATTTATGAATTCATTAAATCCTGTTTTCTCCGTTTCCGTTGCTTATTTGTCTCGGGGAAGAAATGTATTCAATACTATTTTGGTCCAAATTTAAGTATCATGCATAATACTATGCAGACTTAATTTTGACAAACACTAACTAAGCACTGTAAGGTGTAGTATACATGAAGAATGTCTATTCTTTTCTGGACAAAGACTGCTAGTTTTCTGGTTCAACAAATTATGCTAAACAAATCTAGTTCTGATTATACTGTTTATGAATTAATGTAGTAAAATAGTCCTTCCCACCTCAAAGAAGCAGTAAAATGATGGAATTTACAGGCATTTTGTGTTAATTGAAGTTTGGATGGTGGATTCTCGCCGACCATGCACATGGTCCGGGGTTCGATCCCCTATCGACGCACACCCGATATCTATGGTCGGCCTGCAAATTTGGGCTACCGATATCCATGCTGAAAATTCCATACTTGTACGAAAAATACTGTGTGGCATCAAGCTGTAATCAAAAATAAAAAATAAAAAAAAACATTTGCTTCTGGATTTCACTATACAGAAACAAAAGCTGTGGATCTCAAGCTTCTATCTAGGTGGTCATCAGCTGGTGTGAATCCTAGATTCAGAGCTGAAAAACCTTTATAACAAAGCAAATATTGTAATCTTTTGAATGTAGCTTTTCCTGGACAGGAACTGGTGAAAGTCAGTAATCTGGCAATCATATTGTTTGTTTTAGCCTAAAACATAAAACTTCTAATGTGTCTGTATTATAGCCTATATGCACTGTTTCCATGCTAATATGAACTAGGTAATGGAAGAAAGTAATAAATATATACAATAGCTGGTAGAAAATGCTAAACTTTTGCATGATAATGCATTTGGATAAAGCAAGAAGAATAGATTTTGCAGAATAAAATGGTACCATCATACATTTTGTTGCCTTCTCATCAGCTGCTTGCAGGCCAAAGTCATTATTAAATGCATCTACAGAAACAAGTTTAGCATAATTGCACACTAAGGGGAATAAATGTATGAAATTTCTGATAATGCATTTGTTTAACATTTTGTATTAGTAAAAGTTTGTCGAGAAACAGATGCTCTCTAAGCAAGTGTATTTATTAGATTGCATTGCATTCCATTTACCTAGAATGTCTTTTTTCTATAAACGAATAACCATACTGTATCAAATGTTATTGTTCATGTCAGGCTAACTGCATCTGGATGGATGGAATCTCTATGGCCTGCAGATGAGTTCCAACAAACGTGAAAAATAAACGTCTAAGAATTACGTTTTTATGAACATTTGTCATTTTGTCTAGTATATTCCAGAGGTCAGCATTTGCTTAAACACTGATTTATGGCGCACTTCTGTGGTCATCGTAAATAAGTTTATCAAATATATTTTTGCTTGTATTTAGGAAAGTCTTAATTTAGTACTACAAGACATATATTATAATTATAGTATATTAAGACGAATCTGTTTAAAATTTCATGGAGTGTTATTTAAAGTGAAGGCCTCTTTTCAGAGATATCTTCTGTAACTGTTCTGTTTACAAATGCACTATTTGAGCTGAATTTGGTCGACTATAGTGCTTCAGAGGTTGAGCTTACCTGGAATGGGTCTTTTTGATGTTAGGGTTACGCAGATGATTGAGTCCTACTAGTTTAACAAGTTGACAAAATATGTGAAATATGAGGCTCTTTGTATTCGTTAAGCAATAATCAGGAAATGCTCACATGAAAGTTATCAGGGTTAAATTTAAGATGGTCTGCACCATCTCATAGTAGTTTAAGAATTGTGAGTGGTGAGAATTCAGTTTCCCTATACCGGGCTATGAGTCACATCCTTGTTGAAGTAGGCGGGTTAATGTTGTGAAATGGTTAAATGTGATGACCACTTTACTTGTTTAAGGATTCGCATTAGACCCAGTGAAGAGCATGGCTTCACAAGGCTAGTCTGCAATATTCAAACCTGCGTTATCTTCAGCATTATCCGTCAAAGTGAATGTGTATTGTGCAGCGTTTCGCATCGTTCTACTCGACGGCTGAGGTATTAATGTAGAGAATTGAAGACATAAGTAAACAAACGTTTCGTGATCATATTTGCTTCCGTCCGATCTCTTATATTATGTGGAGTGGCAGTGTTAGTAATAAAGATGTTAAATGTTTGAGAGGAGTTAGTGCTGGTCGGACCAATAAATGGTGCTAACTTATCAAGTTTGTGACTTTTAATTTCAGCCAAAGAGAGAGGTGTAGGCTGCCTTAGTGGAATCTCCATGACACTAAGAATTAATCGTTGGAGGCCGTTTTAAGCATGACTTAAAGTTGTTTTCAGTGGTGTGAATTTCATCATCCAGAGTCCGAAGATATCCATTAATTTTCATCTAATCATTCTTTCTCTTGTACATTTTTGTCCTTTGTGATTCCATTGCATTCCTTTTTCGTTTTCATGTGTACATAGAAGTGTGGGAACTTGGACTGTTTCATTTTTTGCAAAGTTGAACGCTCATTAGTCAGTAATTCAGTTAAACATCTCCCTGATAATTCGTCCATCCATTACATTTATGTCATATTGCAGAGGCAGAGTATTCACTAAGAGATAATGCTGTTATTATTTTTATTATTACCACCATATATTATTAATCTCTGTCGACTGGAGAATTTTCATTTCCATGTTTATCGAGTAGTCTTGTTATATATTCATTAAAACATGATATATTATACAGCCTAACCTTAAAACTTTACAACATCCTTAATTGGGGAATTCGATTATTTCTCACAAGCATCAGCAATGCTTGTCAATATTTGAAAGTTTTGACATGAATGTATTTAAACTAGAAATCACTAGTTGAAATTCGTATTTTCAGTGATTTAAATGTAAATTCAGTCCCTATGATCCATCAGATATTGAGTCAATTTTAGATTTAAGATAGGTGTACACATATATGGCAATATTTAGCATGCAATAAAAACGCTTTCCAATCTCAAATCTTGTCTACTGTATGATGTACTTTGTACATTTACGACGAAATTCCCACCTTCATGCATTTACTATCGTTTTTTAAATTTATAGCTCAATAGTCATTGGTCAACTAGGTCATCATAAGATTCAGTGATTATTGCTCATTGTTGTTAGTTGGGTAGATATCAAATAATTCATTGTTTTCATTTGTTTTTTTTTTATTAAACTTTTTCCCTTTGGTAAAGTACTTACATTTCTCAGAACTGGTACTGTGTATAAGTGAGTAGGTTGTTTCAACCGCTTACAGCTTCATTAGTGAGTAGCGATTTGACTTTTCAGGAAATATCTACTCAAACAGTTTAGTAGAAGGTGTTTTCAACTTTAAAAGAACTACTTCTTAAATTCCCGTTCATTAATTTGATAAATTTAAATGATCGCCAGCTGGAAACTTACTGTTTGTTTATTTCAACTCTAATTGGCATCTACATGCGTTGACTGTTGACAAACGGTACTTTATATGGTTAAATGGAAACATTTCTTTCCATGCATTATGTGAAATATACCAGTCTCAGTAAACCCTTAAGTTTGATTTTTTTAAATGTTTGTGAAAAGAATGACAGGGCAATCGGCATGCTGCTAAGTTATTCAAAAGAAATAGGATGATTAGTGAACTAGTATTTCGATACATTTATTCTAATACTCTTAAATAGCCTAGCAATATGTCGTTTACGTTAAATCAAAGAGCATGAAACAACAGAAGAAATAATGAAAAAATGACTGTTTTTCCAGACAATTAAATTGCTTACTTGTGAGTTGGTTAAGGTAAAACACTATGAAAGAACTCGGGTCCGTTACACAGTTGCAATGACCTGTCTTTGAATGAAATATCTATTACTAATAACTTTGAGTCATGAAATTTGTGTAAACACATTTCCATCTTGTTTATGAGAATGTCGAAGTAATCCTACTAAAAGTCTTATTAAATATTATTATGGCTATTTCTTTCTAAAAATTTCAAACCCTTAGCACTATTCTACGATTCCAATTATATCATCATCGAATATTACAACAACTGATTATAACACCTCTACTACTCTCCCCGCTGAGAATTCTTCGAGTCCAGTTACTTGGAGTGAGGAAAGTTTTGTCCACATTTTGGACTATACAAATTTGCTTGTTTCATTGATCATTTTCATATTGAATTGTAACTCAGAACGTCACCAATGCTTGAAAAAGAACAAAGTTATTCTAATTGATAAACATTATCCAATAGTCGGTGTAAATTATGAAAGCGCTGAGATTCATGAAAAAGATATTTTGAAACAGTCAACTGATAATCATGAAGAAACGTTCAAAGATGAGAATTTAGAGTTACAAAAGCTACAGGTAAGTCGCAATTAGCGGTTGATGTATGCCTGAATGTTTTTCTGCTATTTGTTTATTTATTTCCGTGGGAATAAAGCTGACATAGGTTACGTTTGATCCTATCGAGCATCAAATATGCATAATTAATGTTATTTATTTCCACTTACTGGCACCAGTAAGAGTAACACTGAAAACCAAGGAGCACTGGATAGCTGTTTAGCCGTGATTTGAAATTCTCTCGCAGTGGGCACCTGTGGCTCTACCAATCATGCGTTCATCATCACCTGCATATTTTATCCCTGTCTTTTTGCCAGTCTTAGCTGTCTCTTCCTACAATTTCTAATATGTCCATACAGTTCCTTCATCTCATCTTTACCTTGCAACTGTTTCGAACAGTTCATGATAACAAAATATTATTGCCAGTCACTTCAAACTATATTGTTAACTTCACATTGGAGGTTTCAGTTTTTGGATTTGACGTAAAACCATACTATGAATATCACCAGCCGAAACGCTGACGTCTTCATGCATGTACGAACACTGATGAATGACCCGACACTGGTTACCAGCCTAAACTGGAAATTTCTCAGATTCAACTGTTTCAAAAGAAGACACCCCTAAAATAAGAAGATGACAGACAAGAGAATTTACCTAAACTTAAACTAATTTAGTGTCTTCATTATGAATGCTTGGAAAATTGAGTGGTGAAATCTAAATAAATAGAATAGGCATTAGCACTAAGCAATACTATTTTATTTAGTAGAGACCATACAGTGATATACTATTATTTACTGATGACGTTTCGAGTACACTTTATTGCTCATTATTACATCAAGGCACTGACATAATTTTCAAACCTTTTTTTATATAAATCCTTGAGAAAATTGCAGCACTCATTCCCTTTGATAAATTTAAATAAGACATTAAGAAGACAAATATCTTAAAATTAAATCATTTCGTAGTTTCCTTACGATCGCTTGATAACTAACATTGTTCACAATTACTCAGATATATAAAACAAAAGTACATACTAATAACCACTCATATTTTAATAGGTCAAGTAGTCCATAGTAGGCAAAGTTTGAAGTGCATTGTTTTCTGTACACATTGTTTGGGATGCATGTGATTAATCCAAAGTGCTCCCATCACCTGTAATGACCTTGAACTAAAGTTATGTGAAATAATCGAGCAGTCGTTAATATTGATTTTGTGACCTGACATTAATAGGTACTTTGCAATGGATGATGACTGGGTTTTCTATTCTGATTAAGTGCATTTGAGTCTTAATAACCATTTAGAAATGTGTTCTTTCCGATGACATTAGAAAATTCCTATGTCTGTACTAATATATATCGCCCCAACTGCAGACGAACTTGCAGATACAGTATGAAGTAAAATCCTCAGAATTGCGTCCTTTAACAGTAGGCATAGGGATTGAAAATGTTCACGATGTAAGAAAAAGAGATTCAGCATAAGATATATGCTTGTTGGCTGACCGAAACTTTTGAACTGTCAATTGCATAGTTTAATCACCCTTAAATGGTAGTTTAATAAAGAAAGATTCTTTTTGGTACGGAAGCTGTCTTTTCAAGAGAAAGTCTGTCTTTACAGTGACGTGCAATGAAGGTTTCCGGATATCCACTGGCCAACAAAACTCATGTATACATCGTATCTTGTCCACTAACGTGTCGCTCGTGCAAGTTTTATGGGCCCCTGAGAACAAGCATCTCACTAAGGTACGTTTATCCTGGATAGGAATGAATATACTGTCCACTTCATGTCTGCTTGAGAGATAGGGGTCACACAATTGTTCCGTTATCTTGTATACTCACTGAAATATCCAGGAAACTCAGCGTGTCATTCGATTCGAATTCTGAGGTCACTCGAATATTTTAAATGAGTATCATTAAATGAAGTAGTGAATTTGTCAATTATTCACCCATAATGAGGGTGTCACTCATAAAACGTTTCTACAGCGTAGCATATTTCCACTTCTTTCTCCATTTTTGCCATAAATACATTTGCAAACAGGGGTCCATCAGGGTGTCCCATTCCAACACTATCAATTTTTCTGTGTGCTTTTCCTAGAAAATCAAATCATATATTTTCCGTACATGTCAACCTTTGCCTACCAAGGACTACTTGACCTACTAAAATATGATTGGTTATTAGTATGTACTTTTGTTTTAAATAGCTGAGTAATTGTCAAACGTTTTATTTTATTATTGTGAACCATGTTAATTATCAAGTGATCGTAAAGAAACTATGAAATGATTTAATCTTAAGATATTTGTCTTCCTAATGCCTTATCCAAAACTGAATAATCCTATTATTCCTTATCCCTTTATTTTATTTTCCATATCTGTGGTATCGGCGTTGCCTATGAGTAGATTCTATGGACATAGATTCAGGGACCAATTTCTCCATCCACCTACCCATATTACTTATTAGGACTCTAGCTCTACTCCACCCGCTCGTGAGATTGTGTTAGTTCATGCATTGTGATTACTGAGTTTTTTCCAAGTTATCTTCCTAGGTTCACTTATTCCACACTTTCGATAATCCGACTGTTTCCGGTCTTGCTGGTCTAATGTATATAGTGAAAAAAATCGGTATTAGATGGTTGGAGGACAAGACACATTTCACTAGTTACTGACCAGTGTCCAATCAAAAATAAACACCATCAGTAAATAATACTGTATCACTGCGTGGTTTTTATCAAATAAAATTACTGTATGACGGAATTACGCTCTAACATAGTGCTCAAATTATGTTTCTATACTAAGCAATACTGTTAGTCATCTAGAATTTGAATGAGAATGATAATTAAGTAGCTTCTCATGAGAGACCTTTATAACCTCAACTCGCTTAGAGATGTACTACGGTTTCCCATCATTCAACCTCATCTTAAATTGGATGTGAATACCAGTTTCTGAAATTTGGCGGATGTTGCAGATGGTATCTGTAGTATTAAACAAGGCGAATCCATGGGAATTGATGGTTTGACTCGAGAGGTCTCTGAGAATGTCAGTGGCATCTAGGATAATGGCTAGTATATGAAAATCTGACTTAGTTCCAGTGGATTGGCATACATCGTTGAGTTCATTGAGTTGCTCGCGTTAGGTGGAGTAAGATAACGGATAGTTTTGAGACTATACATAGGAAGGATACGGAAGGTGTGTAAAATGAGGGAGTTGTAAATCTTCATTAATCGAATTGGATAAGACATATGTTACGCGTGCCAAGCTACTTCTTTTTTCGACGCGCAGTGCTAGCTGAAATATGATCATTTCGGAAGAATCAAAGCAAAATAGAATTGATCAGTGAAGTCTGTGACTGTCGGTTTGATTCATGTGGAGTATTGTAAATTGTTTAGTTGAGGCTCCCGGGATGATGAGAGTGATAATTCTTATTCAACGACTCTTGGTAACACGGCTGAAAGTCATTTAAATCCTGAATGTTTTCACTGCTCGCATTAAACTATTTGGTCTTTTACATTTATGTCTGTTCATTGTAATACTTTTGCATTCGTGTTTTATTCTTCCATGTATGCTTTTGAATTGATACTTTCCTGCAACGTCCTGCAGGAATTTTTTAAACAGTTACATCTGTATAGAAGGGAAATGTTTTTGAGGTCTTCACGTTTAATGTGAAAGGCCATCAATATGTTAATAATAAACGTAATATAAAGTGATCTGGAGAACAATAATTTTCTAGGATAAATTTACAGACCTAATATACAATAATAATCTACAGACTGAAGATAAGGTTAACGTATGAAATGCATTTAAAGTTCTCTGTTGAAGCTCTCTATTTAGTATTCTACTTAGATGGAGTTATTTACATTAGGCCTGCAAATGAAAAGAATATACATGACAAAGAAGTAATCTACTAGTTCGTTTAGTTGATTGAATTATGCAAAAATATGCATAGTTTTGAAAAGAACTATGAATTAAAATGTTAATTATAGTTGTCATGGTGAGCGTGAAAAAGTTCGAACCCCCAGTTACCTAGCTACTGAAAAGAATAAACAGAAGAAAACCCAGTGTTCTTAAAGTTAATTAATGAGTCATAACTGTCACATATGATGTAACCAATGGGTACTCAGTAACTCTTTCTTAGTTCAACTCGATTTCGACTAGTCTTAAATGAGGCAGATATGCAGGTAATATGATAGTAATTGGGTTGTTGTGAACAGTCATTCGAATGATACCAGGGAAGAAAGTTCTGTGGATGAAACTAATTAACATTCGTTTTTTCTCATCTGGTTTAGTTTCAGTCTTTCCACTTAAAGCCATTTGTTCACCTTCAATCTTCGACTCCGTTTCTTCTGAAGCTCTTTCATGAATTAGGACCATGCTTAAGTGTGTGCGTTGTTTATCTCGCTTTCCGGAGGTTATCAGAAGCATCATCCCATATAGGTTAACGTAAGAAAACTGATTGCGCCCCCTGTTGCAGCTAAACATTTAGCCATGCTAGATTCAAGTGTAACTATTAATCCACCAAAAAATGTAAGCAAATACTCTATATGCTTCCAAAACCCCATTAAATTGGTGAATAAACGCAGGTGTGCGCGAGAGGTTTAGAGTGTGAAAATATCAATGAGCCCGTCTTCGTAATGCAAACAGTGCAAACTAACTACATACTTTTCCTCAGAATGACTCATTTACTATTTCAGATTTCAGCATTATTCAAAGTGAGTTTGGTTAATTATCTTTGTTTAAGAGTTTATCTATTTTGGTGGTGAAATGTATGTGAGTACCATGATGCTAATTGGAGAATATCATGCTGAGTATTCCCGCTGTGGCTGATAAAGCTGATCAGGTCATTCAAAAAGCAGTTCAATGCTGTCATGTGTTATAGATAAAAGTGTCGCAGTAGGCAGGAAAAAGATATTTGAAAGCAACTATTGCGTACTATCGAATATTGTGATGGATAGTGTACATCGAAAATTTGGCATACGACTGTGTTGGAATTATCTAAGACGTCATTAATTGAATAAAATGAATCATTATTCCTTGGAGTTTTTATGCAATTACGGGAAAGTGTGTACGTTGCGGTATAGTATGAGAAAGATCAAATTCTTCAATGGCGTCTTTTGTTGTACTTTGAAGTAACCGGTTAAAATTTAAATTCTCCTTATTATCTATTATCTTACACTTGTTTCAGTGTAAAATTTAAGCCATCTAACCAGCACTGTTTTATCTCAAAATATTTTAACTTAGGCAAAATCTCCTGAAAAGGATTGTTCATTCTTAACACGAATAACCTACGCTTGGTTTACAAGGTGAGGTAATTTTTTAAAAACTCTGTTTGGTTAATCATTAGTAATTGTTATTCATGATCAGTATATTTATTATTTTCCCATTCAAAGTTTCAATGGATAATAGGTATCATAGTCATTCTTTGATGTATCAAAAAATTAAATTTCTCTTATCAAAAGAGTACTAAACATGCAATTTATACTAGACAAATGAATAAAGAAAAAACCAAATAGTCTGTAGAATACTACAGATTCTTTGTACTTTGTGATCTATTCTTTAACTAACTACCTTGAGTAGATGAAAAATACTAAATTTCACTGGATTTATAAGTATTTTGTTAATACTGGAATTCAGTAGTGAGAACGAGTTCGTCTATGGAGAATATGTGTCAGATATATATATCAACCAAATGCCTACAAACCAATACTTGAATAACAATGAGATGCTCACTGGAGACTGGCCCTATTCAGGTAGGTAGTTACCTGGGGTTCTAGTGGGAAGTCGTGGCCATTAGGGTGTAGCAGGTGGGGTGTGGAGACAAATACTCGCCGAAGACATTGGCTAGCGGTTGCGCTACATCGTGAATTGGCAGAAGTTAGAATTCATGGGCCATTGGATCGGGTCCCAGTGGCTTAATGATATACGAGCTCGCCTTGTAACCAGAAGGTCCTGGGTTCGAACCCTGGCGGTGGGTGCGTACTGATGAAGAGTCCCGAACTAGGACGAAACAGCTGTCCAGTACTCCTAGGTTTTCCAATGGTTCTCTAACCAATGTCAGTTCATGATGAAATCCTGTAACCAGTCAACCAAGTCCCTACAAACCAATACTTGAAAATAAATTTGTTATTTAAATATGGTTGCACTTATTGTTTCATGTCGCCCATTGTGTAAGGATAGGAAACAATTGCTGTGGCTTTTTTAAATCATTATAAACTAGATATACCTTTCCTTCTCATAATATTCTACAGAATTTCATTATTCATCCTAACAAATTTAAGTGTACGTATTCTTCGCGTTTGTATCTAGTGGAAGTAATGCATCGATACTAAATACATGCAGTTTCTTATTCTGCATACTTTTGGTACAACATGTGTCATCGTTTTAGAGTTTGCGTAAAGTATTTTTGCATTACATATTTTCAAACTTACATTTTGAACCAGTGTACTTAGGGTTCTGTCTGTAGCTATATTATTTATTGGCAGATTGGTGGTTTTAGCAAAAGAACATTGTTATCCCAAAAAATTATAAGTAGGAAAATTTCGAAAATGACGTCCTATTACTGCTGAAGCAAGCAGTCTTTAAGACGTAACCTTGCCCGCAGATATCGTTCCGTATGATTTCTTATCCAATGTCAAGAGTTCCTAATGGTTGTCATTGATGTCTGATTAACTTTTCCGTACATTGTCCTGGTGGAATTGTTATTTCCAACTTTTTGAAAGTATTTCAATGGTTAACTGATTCAATCCAACTAATTGCTTACCTGCTTACTAGGAGTTGGTAGATAAGACACCTGTGGTTCTCCATGAGTATATCAAATACTTTGAAACTTATCCATTCTCTAAAAACTTATCAATAGAGTTACTGTTCTGTAAACAACAGTGAGGAGTCTCGATATACGTATTTCGTGATTAGGATTAATTTTTATAAATCTTCAGTCTTGTAACTATTCACATTGAAATATAATTTTGACTGCGCTTTATCTTCTCTGAAGTTCTGTTTAAATTTTCATGCAGAATAAGCTTTTTTTGATAAATTCACTTGTATTTAAAAAAGTCTGATAATAAAAATTGGCTAGTTATATATTAGAATAAGCATGTCCGAATTCCATTTCAAATTTATATTGCCAGTATTTCTGTAAACTAGCAGTCCCTTGGCTAACGAAACGTTAAATCAGATTAATTGGTTTAATAATTAATGCCTACACTACTCTCTTTGAAGGACAACAGTTGTTCAAAAACACTTAATCAAACATAATAAACATGTTTTTGTGTAAGTCTATATGCTCTATCCTGTGGATTTTGAAGAAATAGGCACCTGGACAACAAATATGCTATCTTTTATCTTCAAATTTTTCAGGTTGATTGTAAAAGGATTTCGTAAACCACTGGAATTCAAAGATTTATGGCGATTAGATTCAGAACATCGTTCAGCTTACATTTCAAAAATATTCTTAGCCAATTTAGACAAACATTTAGTGCCTAACAAGACAGCTAATTCCTATCTGTAAGTCACCGTTTATTTTTACCGGTTGATTGTGTATTCATGTCCCTTTGTGTGCTCTCGTATATTATATTTTTTCTACAGGTATTATTATTTACTTTAATTTATAGTAAATTTCTCTTTTATTACAAAAATATTTTAGAAGCAATCGGTTTAAAAAGTACTATTTAATTTCAGATTTTTCAGTTTCAAAGTAGTATTGAAATTAAACACTGAACGTGTAATTATGTTCAGCGTTTCTGTATGGCTGTAGATGTTCATGTCTCATTATTTTGTTTGTCTTCAAACGAATCTAAGCTGATGTAGGCTGAAAACCCTGACTCTCGCTTGAAAATACATGTTCATTGCAACGCCAATACACCCTTATTTTTGTGTTGTACGCGTGTTCATCACACTACACAGTGTTGTTGTAACTTTGTCTTTTGATTAAGAGTGCCGTAATGATGAACCTCTTACAGCATATACGCGTATAAACTAGATAATTTAAACATCACACATAAACAGATTCCAGTTGCGCGTGTTAGCCAGTGGTTAACGGTCCAGTCTTAGGTTTTTTTATTTAACTGGTATCAACTGGATGATGGTGCGTCGGTGGCACGGTGGTTAGGACACTCGCCGACCATGCACATGGTCCGGGGTTCGATCCCCGACCGACGCACTCCTTTACCTCGCCAAACCAGTAATTAAAAAATGTTGGTAAAGAGGAAAGGTTGAGGATGAGGCTAGCAACCTCATCCTGTAGAAATAAACACTGCTGCAGAAACTTCAAGTCTCTAGCTTGAAGCCCTATGTTCCACTGGAAACGTGAGGGGAAAAAACTGGATAATGTCAATGGGAAGGATTGATTCACTTCTATAAATCCACAGTACTAAAAACTAAAAGTCCTAAAAATCAACTGATTAGCGTTGGATAAGATACTGTTGTTGTAGGGTAAAAGTCTCAATGAAGCCACCAATGCAATTAGGTGAATGTTCATCTGTTTAGTGAATCTCAAAACGGAGGAACCACACACCATCATCAGTTCCAGTAGATGTTATAGTTAACCTGGCTGTATTATTGTTTGTTAGCTCCTCGTTGTAAAGAATCTTTGATCTGAACGAAATGTCAATGGATATTTTAGATTTTCAGTCTGTCATTCATGGCGTAAAGCGCCTGACAGCAACCATTGATATGAATTCTTTATTACTGAAAACCCGAATGTTAAATTTCTACATTTCGGAAGATAGTTAATGTAGCAGGCCGCCTATACGTTAGCTGCTACTATCTCAGTTTCACTTCAGTCATCTAATAAGCTTCCTCATTTCAGCTGACTCTCTTCATTCTAGTTGAAATTAAAGAAGGGGAACCGTGCAGCATTTCAAATCCAGTAGATGGGTAAATAACATGGCCAAACGTTAATGTGAGAACACTTTGCTATTTTACTTCTTTGCTGTCTTTTAATCCATCATATTTTCTTCTTCGATGTTTCAGTGAAAGACGTCGTACATCCATGGGGAACAGTGTTTGTGATCCTAATTTAGAATCATCAGAGAATGAATTACGGCGCAAGTCGGCACAGAGTATCCTAGGCATTGGTCTTCCTCAACACAACAAACATTTATACAAGTCTGGATTGACAAATAATTATGTAGATGAGACAACAACTGTTCGAAGAGCTAGTGAAGGCTTTTATTTACTTAATAAAGGATCACTTGACAAGTCTTCGTCATCTCTGCTTAACAGTAATAACTGTGATGTTAGTAATCCAGATCTACTTCCAATAAATAATCGTTTGGAACACAAGGTTGGATCTACGCATTTAACTGATATTGAAGTTCACTCAAAGTCTGAGGATCCCCCAGTTAGTGCAATTAAAGGTAAGGTATTCGATAAGTTTCTATTCCTGAGGTTTCGAAATAATTACTTCATAATTACTTTATGTTCGCATATTGACATGACTTATGAACAACTTTATATTAAAAAAAATGTTTTCAAAAAAAGTTAAAATGAATGAATGAAAGTGTCATTGAATAAATGAAGCTTAACTTGACATTTATTCATGTACTTAGCACACCTTACAGTAAATCTTTATGCTATCTAGATCTCCATACGGCACTCATACGTGGTCTTTCCAAAATGTTAATTTCTCACGATTGTGCTTTTTGTCTTTAGTTTTTTGGTCGTTAGTTTGTTGCTGTCAGCAGTAGAGTCGTCTAATTGATCTTCAGATCTCGTAACACTTGTTCGAATATTATAAAGTATCATTCTTGAGTAAATGAAGTTATCTCCAAACATCAGAATCAGTGCTCATAGTCCAGTCCTAACGATGTTATCCTTGTCGAATTCATGATATAAATGATTGTCGCTTCTAGAACTCGTTAACAGAAGCACAGAAGTGGACAATCGATGAAGTAGTGGTGCAGTTTAGTACTCATAACTTTTTTTAAATTAATGACGTGTAAAATAACCTCTTTCGAAAATAAATCTATGCTTATTTTATTTCGTCTAAACTGTACTTTATTATCTTATTCCTATGATCAGGTCATGAAAAAGATGCACCTTCAAGACGATCTGTACGCATACGTGTTGGTCCAAAGCCGGAATATATTCCAGAATTGTCAGAAAGTCATAGTGATTCAATGATTTTTACTCCAGCAAATGAAAACGTTAGTGTTGATTTACTTTGAAACCATGCGTATATCCATATTTTACAATTTGCATAATACCACTAATAATTTTTCAATGCATATTTGACTAAAACAAGCAACAAAGGTTGATAAGGCAGGATTTAATGAATTCATCGAATTTCGGTAGAACTTTTCAACTGAATATTTCACTTGATGGGATATATGTACTACTAGAATTACATTGAGAGACATAAGATTGATAAGAGAATAGTCTACATTGAATTATTCATGAAAAACGACAGGTGTGAATGTTTTTCAGGTCATGTTCGAGTAGATAAAGGGAAGGAGTATGAACGATTAAAATTAAGATAAAATGCATTATAGTTCAGTTGCATTACATTAATGTATGTGGATGATTCCTAATAATTTTATAACTTTGATTGCTATATTGGCATTACCTGAGAGTCAAATACAACTCAGTGCCATGAAACCTACTCTTCAAATTATCGGTAAAAAACTCAGTCCAACTGTTTGTTCTTCATGCAAACTCTATTTGTGCATAGTTTTGTCCACATAATTTCGAAATATTCCTTTTATTAAGGTGTTTCTGTAACTTTTTCTTTCGTGTAACTTAATGTTTCCAGTCAGAGTTTTGTATGAAGAAAGTCGGGAACAAAACAGCACTGACTAACAATAATGCTGTTTTAAAGAATGACAATCAGTCAGTTGATCAGAAAATCTCTCTGTCGGAATTCAAAACAAAGGGTGTAAGAAGTTCAGTTGAATTCGATGTATCTGTGAAACCTCAGTCGAAATTCAAACCTTTCCATTTTTGTTTTATCAATAAAAGAAGATTTGGTCTTATAGGTGCATTATTCGCCACTTATGGAAAAACATTACTGTGGTCAGCATTTCTAAAGTTGATATACGATATTCTAGTGTTTGTAAATCCGATATTATTAAAGTGAGTTTCTTTGACGGTTACTTCTTATCCACCTGTTTTCATTTATGCTATGCTTATTCTGTCTTTCTATACATACAATCACTGAATAATATTCATATAATATAGACACAAAGGATTGTGCGACATGCATTAATAAAATACTGAGGATAAGAGAGGAGAGCGAAAAAAATACAGAATCATCGTGGAACAGACAGTTGTATGTTTTACTGATAATAGATTTTAATTTGCCGGAAAACTATAATAACTACTCTCCATTGTAAGGTGGCTTAATGTGAACATTTTTCTTCTGGAAAAATTACAGTTTTTCATCCTCTACACCACTTCAACATCTTCAGCACATATTAGTTTCTCAAGAGTTTTTCAGTCAATATTTACTTTCTTTCACTTATTCTTACAACTTGTGGGCACCTTAGTGGGTCTTCCATAAATCAATCCTTTCATTGAATCCTTTCTTCGATTTAAAAGCAAGAGTAGAAATACTGTTTGAGTGCCATTTTCTTCTACACAGCCTGGGAAGATTCAATCTTGTGTCGGATTTGGTCTCTTCAGTAGAGGTGTCACACTGCCATGCTTATTACGCAATAAAATAATAGCATTCATCGATCTCATGTTGAAGCGGAATTACGCTATCAAATCAAGAGTCAAATTTTCGACAAATGAAGTGTACACATCACTTAGTAATGTTCTTAATTGACAATTGTTGAAAGTGATGACCTTCGAAAGTGAGATCAACTTGGTCAGTATGTAATAGCATTCTTCCCATATATGATGAGACAATAGGGAAGGAACGATTAGCTGAGAATATGTAATCCCCAGGAATTCCAGCGCAATACTTAGGGGTACATTATAAGATGATATGTTTACATCTAAGGAGTACATTTCATTTTCAATAATATTCATATCGGTAGGAAAAGAAACAGGTCGAAATAAGAGGGGAGAGCCATGATATATTTCTTGAGAAAGTAAACTTTCCCCTTATCAGTTCTGCCAATTTACGTTTTGCTTTTACTTCTAATTTTCCACTGCTCTATGACGTCCATCCATCATAAATTTGATTTCTCTGCAAGAAATGAATAACTCTAAGTTTTATAATAATCACATCCATTTATCATCGTTACGAATAAGTGTATCATATCTACCAAGCTACTCTTATAGACTTTTGGAGTACTGTGAAATCAAAATGTTTTCTATTTTGTACTTGAATTTATCCTACGATGAATTTAAACTGTCTGAACAGGTAAGAACAGTTTTTCAGTATTCTGATCGTAGTACTTAGCCTATGAAGGGTGAGAGCACTGTCTATTCACCTTCATTTGGAATAAAGAACTCAGGTTTATTTTATATTACAATCAAGCGTCTGAAAAGTTTTATATCTGACAGCGGTTATTTTGCACGTGTTATATTATTTCTTGTGAGTACTTCCGTAAACACTAATTTCCTGTGAATGTGTATTTTAGCCAATGAAGCGAATCTTATTTTGAATCTATAGTTAGTGAGGTATGGAATACTGAATGATACAGTTTTAATTGAAAAGTATTCTGTTGTCAAAGTAATCACGATTGCCCATAAGATTCACATGGAAACCACTATCATCATATTCACATAATATTTTCTTGGGAATATTTCATACTTATGCGTTTTAGGACAACTAAAGCTAGAACCTTTTTGATTTATTGGATGTAAAGTAGATGACTTAGTAAATATGCAAGCACTAACAGTTACTCATTTCTGGCATTTTCTTAAATAGGTTATTATTAAAATTCCTACAGAATGTTCATTCAGAACCAAAATGGCATGGATATTTATATGCTATAGCCATATTCATTGATACAAGTGTACAGTCACTTATACTACAATGTTATTTCCATGTTGTCTTCAGTCTTGGAATGAATATAAAAACAGTGATTACTGCAGCTGTCTACAGGAAAGTAAGTCTTTATTGTATGTGTACATGTTGATGCGTAAATCACTTTTAGTCGTTTGAAGATTCCAGCTTTTGACATTAGAGAAATACATTGGCTGGTTGAATAAGGAAATAATTCCTTTTAATTAACTTCTCACCCATTTCTCTGTACTAATGCATAAATTTGACGAGTAATGTGTTGGTTGTAAGTTAATTTACAATAATTATCCTTGAAGATAATAACTAGCAGCATTCAAATTTGAGATAATGAATAGATTTTTATATTTTCAGGATTGAATCCATACTTAGAAGTATGGATGCATCAAGGCTAGGAAGCTGTAAAAAGGTTGATATTAACAGTTTTTTTCGGCTTGACCTTTCCTTACTTGTATACGCTGGGAGAGCGGCTCAGACGCACTTTGCTCGCTGCCAGATGTAAGCACTTCCCTTTAATCAAATCCTTATTCATTTAGTAGTTCTGTACCGATGCCGAATGCTACCTATAGCTTAACCAGTTTTAACCATAGTAATGATGGCCAAGTTAAGCTATCACAGCCAAGATAACAGTCATCTCGGGCAACCAATCAGAATCCAGATGCAAAAATTCTCATAATCGTAAAAAAATGTAGTAGAAACACTGCATGATATTACGCTGGATAACTGTCTCTTATCTCTTGTAAGAATCTCTTCCAGTAACTTCAAAGATAATCCATATAGAAATCATATCACATGTTATACATGTATAAATCCAGGCGATTGAAGATCTAGGTGCTTTAGGATACACTGATATTCTTGACTCTGTTCTTTAACCTACCCCTCGCCGTAATCCTAACCTTCCCGGAGTTAATTCACCAGATCCACAAAAGCAGGCATGATATGATGTGGAATGACCTTTCATAGTGTTTCCTAAATTCGACTAGTCTATGAAAATCAACACTTGAAACACCTTGACTTTGGCTACGACAGTTTAACTTCACCGTAATGACCTTCATATATACTACTGTTCATTTGGTATTATCGGTGTCCTAAGGCCTCAAGGAATGAAAATTTTTCTCAATGGGATGTGTCAAACTAGCGAATAGTGATGATTATACCAGAATTAAACAATATAATGATGAAAGGTAAACTGAGATAATCGTCATCATCCACTGTAGTCTGTCATCCCAACAGTTTTCCCGTCGCCATTAATCTATTTCAGTATAGTGAATAATTATTCCAGCCATTTATTCTTGCTCATTTCCTTATCTATTTAAATTTGTCTGCTACTGATTTGTTTTGTTAAAATTTTTAACACTCTCATGCAACTGTATCGCTGCTTTTTTCATTCTTGTCAACTAACTTTTCTGATTTGTTTTATTTTCTATACTTAGAGTCTAAGATTGAGTAATAAAGCCCGATACAAGTCGACCACTGGACAGGTCATGAATTTAATGTCATCCGACGCCCAACAGTTTGTTCAACTTATGCCATTTATAAACATTTTGTGGTCAGGACCATTTCAAATAACAATTTCCATGGTATTGCTTTGGAGAGAATTAGGCCCTGCTGTTCTTGCGGGTGTTGGCGTTTTGTTACTCCTGTTGCCTATTAATGTTCTGGTTGCACGTCGATCGAAATTCTTTCAAGTGAGTTGTAAATAAGTAGTTTTGATTCCTGTTTAGTGACAAAAGAGTTAAAAACCACTTTCAGAGTTATGGAAGCAGTTTAAGATACTAAGTGTGTAGTATGTTTTATTTACCTACTTTGTTTAATTTTTCAAAATTATTATTCCTTTATCACTTGCTGTGCATAAAAAATACTTATTTTTAGTCTGACTATACGGAATTAGGTGTCTGATATAGTTTGACAAATATGCATACTATAATTTCTATATTCGGTTGTCTAGTAGTTTGTTTTTTTAACCCAAAAGAGACACTTTCCTTCAGTATGTAACTGTTTTTCTCTGCAGGAATCTCCTGTATCAAATTCTTCTCAAGTTACTGTGTTTTGATTCCAGGTTGTGTCATCTCAAGGTATTATTTTGATGGGTGTTAAGAAAATGTCGATAATTTTATACGTTTATGACAGCTGGACATTTTAGGATACTTGTCATACATGTCATGTTATTTTCCACTTTGATATGCGATATTGCAAGTGACTAAAAGTGAACTAAAGATGCTTCAGCTTGGTCAGATTGTGACTGAGTTGTATCAGATGCTGGTATCAAATGATAAGTAGCGTAATCAGAATGCTTTAGATGACATAAGTTAGGGACAATGTATGTTACGTATATCAGATCAAGTATTTGAAGGTTACATAATTCAATATGAAGCCAAAGTGTTCAGATTATGGTGTATCATTTGGTACCAAAACTAAAGTGTCTGTTTGTATGCATAGTGAAATGGCTGAATGTAGAATTCTGTGATGTGCCTTAGTTGTTAGTCGTCATGCTTTTACAGTCCCCTCTACCTCTGGTTTCATATTTTCTCTCCCTATTTCACTGTGCTTAATTTGCAGTGATAATTTTTTTTTGTGGCACTTTGAACCATTTCCTCTGCAGTATCTAGAGAAATAGTTCATACTGTTTCCTTGTTTGTTGTGCAGATTTAGAGGGATACTAATTATTTAAAATAATCCCGGCGTGTTTTGAAAACTGAAATAAGATTTTTCTGAATGTTTTGTTGTGTTTGACACAGCTTCTTCAACAGAAGTTAAATAATGATCCAGTCTAACTCGGTGCTCAACTTGTATAAAGATATTCAGTAAAGCAAAATGAAGTATCTTAGATACTTCCCATGTTTTTAATTCCTACTGTCCATTTTACATTGATAGAGTCAGCCAGCCTTGTAACTTTACTATCAAATACCAAAATTCATCTTTAGTAACAGTTCTTATGTGCTACTGAAAAGTATACTTAGTTTTGTATTTGTGTAACAAGTCTACTATTCACATTAGTAAAGGAAACTAGAATAATGGCGGTAGCAGAAACAATAGCTCTGGGGTTACTGACTTACTGCATAAGTTATTGATAGGTTTTTCAATAACACCTTAGTTACCGGGGATTTTATGTAATTGTTATGTATGATGGATAGGGAATTATTCATCTCAGTTGTTAGAATAGTACTTCGGCAATCAAATCACTACTCACTGTTACTAGTACTACTCACTACTCTGTGAGTTGCATTCATCTATCTCTTCAACCACCGTGTTAAGTCAGTGATACTATTCTTCAGTTATACGATATTTCAGTAATATGTGGGTAGTCTTCATATTTGACATTCTGACAGCAGTGCGCAGATCTTAACAAAATCTAATAACTTCTTCCTTGTTGTTGAGTTGACAGAACTTATTTCTTGTCTGCTTCTCGGGTTATGTGGTCAATAAACTATTTAAGTGATGAGTGAATATTGAAGGCGAAGCGAATTATTACTAGTCCAACGATCTGTCAGCTGAACTACCAGACGCACTTGCTAACCACGTGCTGATTGCACATCAGTACCCAGTTCTTATGTCAATGGATGACACTCAACTTTTCGTTTATCCTCACCCTAGATGCTCAGATGGTAGTAGTAGTCTGTGAACTCAAGATTATCTCACATAGTCTCATTATCAATAGACTATGTGATTTGATTTTCTGGAATGAATTTCATGAAGTTGCTCTGTTGCTTCTCGATATGGTTTTGCAGACAGAATGAAACATATTCATATTCGAGCATTGCATTTTTTGGTTGGCGGTTTTCAGTTTTAATTAAAAAATAGTATGATAATTACTCACTAGAATTTTCAGTGTATTTGTTGAAAAAACAGCAAATATTTGGAGTGGATAAAGCAGTAGAAAACTGCAATTTAAAATTAGTTTTTCAGTTGTATAGTAAAACAGTACTATTATTCACTGGGTGACGTTTCAAGTACAGTTTATTGTTCAAAATCATATATAGGCTGCAACTCCGAAACGGTTAATTTTTTCACAATTTATGAATTCTTTAGTTATTCCTAGCAGTCTGTTTCTGTGTAATGACAATTACTTCTATGATCATTTAACAAATGCAAATATATTATCACCATATTGATGTGAGAGTAGTGTTAACAGTGAAAGGTTCAATCTGTTAATAAAACAGAAGGTAATCGGTACAGCGTCTTTCATCTACAAGGCTGTGAACCACACCTATTGTTTGATAGCTAATGATGCTCAGTTACTTACAGTCTGCATTAACTGAAGCACATTTCGAACCTTGGACTTATATATCGATTGGAAGTAGTTAACTTCTTATAACTGCTGAGATTATCGGATGTCTTATTCCTGTCGCTTCTATTACCATTGAAGCGAAAAGCGATGGCGAAAATCAGTGTGTTTGCACTTTTGTTCGGTAGACTAAAACAGACATCGAATGACGAATACTTTGTTTTTTATTTAACTTCTAGCTGAAAAGTCTTAATTAAGCATATGCGAAGCTAAAATTCTACTTTATTAGACATATTTCAGCCGTTGTTGACCTAGTTCCATGTGAAATTGAACAAAAGTTTATCACTGCCATAAATTCCTATTAAATCTGGTTGTTAAACTTCTGGTTGATTTTGTATGCAAACTATCGGCTTCGTATACATATTTTTTTTCTGACAATTTAAATAGGGTTTTTAAATTTATGTATTTTCCGAGAAATGTTCTGTCCACATATTCCATCTAAATGCGTCTGTTGAACACAAGCACAGAATAAGCTAACCAATTGGTTGGTTGATTGCGAGCTTAAAACATGAGGTTATTTTATTGGTAGAAACGGACTGTACCAATAGCTGTGGGTACACATTCGTTGTGCATAAGCATTTCACCATATGTCCTGGTTTTGTACTCAGTTATCTTACGTTGGTTTTTTCAGTCGTTGTGGGTTGAGTTTTGCCTATCTAAGGGTATTTTTTACCATTATTTTAAATTTCTGTCAATCTCTAATTTTTCTTTTGATCGCATTAAGTCTACGTGTGTTAGCAAGTAGCTAACAACAGGTTGTCCATACTCAAACTTATTTAAAAAGTCAATATAAGTAGTATTATTACATGAAAATAAACATTGCAGCATTGTATTTTAATAAATTCACTAAAACAAAAATAATCCAATTTAAATCAATGAAAATTTAAAAAGTCTGCTGACTGAAATTTTTACGTCTGATTAGTTAACAATTTGTTATCTGTTTATATCTATGTATTTTGTTCATGTTTCTGCTGCAGACTGTTTCGTGATCCACATTTCTTTCCTTCACACTTTAATTTGTAATGATTTTCTCGAAGTTTGTTGCATGTTTGGCAATTTTCTTAGGTTTGTATATGTGTGTGTGTGTTTGTTACATCTTTGAATGATGAAGATCCTAAGTTCGATAACACGTAAGATGAAATATATATATATATATATATATATGCAAAACAGATGTACCTTATTCATCATTCTATATGACGCATTACAGAATAAAATTAATTTCCTGTAGTTATTCAAGTCTTTTATTTGCCTATTGTATACATTTATGCCTACTGGCCAATATTATTGCAGAAAGCTTACCTTTTACTCACCCCCCCCCCCCTTACGACTGAATATTTGTACAACCATATGTGAATGTACAACAAAATGTTGGTTTTTGTTCCCATTTAATAAATACATGAAGTTTGAGAAAATGAAATGAGAACGGTACGCTTGTTTTTATCATTCAAATCTTTTTTCAGCCGTCAGAATTTATTTCTTCTAGGAAATGATGTTTTTGTATAATCTCGACCATCTCTTTTCCCTTTTTTTCCGAAAATTGTTTTCATGAAATGTTGGTTGATAATTTGCATGTGTATAGCAAATTTAAACAGCGATATTTCAGTATTTCTATGTTCTTGTGATGACTGACATGCTCCCAAGCGAGTAATGCCTGTCATGCACATTAGACCATTTCTGCGTTAACCCACTATACCAGATAAGGGAGTCTTACTGATAATCGCATTTGAATCTTTTGATTGAAAATGTAACTATAATTACATTTTGCTGGTAAATACAACAGAATTTCCAAGCTGTTGCGTCTAGATATCCCACAATTAATGCATGATAGTGTACTATTATTATTTACTTCAGTTCCTAGTGGAACATTAGGCTTCAACAGCATATCTCCACTTCATTTTATTCCCTGCAGTCTTTTTTACTTGGCCTCATGATTATCCATCAGCTTTCATCTCCTCCATGCCAACTTCGGACTTCTATTTCGCTTACCATTCGAGCCCCACCAGAAGGCTTGGCGTTTGATGTTACTCAATGGTTTCTTCGGCGTATACACAATCCATTGTCATTTCCTCCTGCACATTTGTTGGTCGATAGGTTCTTCATTAGTTACTTGCCGGAGTTCTTTTTGGCCAGCCATCTGATGTTCAAAATCGAGAGAAGGCATGATAGAGTACAGTAGTATAATTAACTTACTACCTTCTATTTTTCCACTGCACCCTAATGGTGTCACATAATTCTTTTACTAATCTTAGTACACAATCCTATATTTGGTGTCCATCGAAAAATGGAGTGATATTCCCCGAAGTTCTGATTCTTAACGCATTCAGTAACTGCAGGTCAGTTGCAGTTAATGATGAACTTCATCAAATGCAGGGTGACTCACTGAGAAAGTGATGAATTCTAACACTCAAAGGAAAAAGCTCACCCAGCCTTAAAAACCTACTGGGAGTGTTGATGCAGTTTCATGTTGATGAAGCAGTGGTAAAACCTTAATATGCATAAAAGGGAAAAGATGATAAGTCTAATGAATGAAAAGTTATGAAATAATCGGTTGTTCAGTCTTAGCAGAGTAACCAGTTGATAGTGAATAAAATATTGCCTAAGTGTCACAAATATTATTTTATTCAGTTATCATGTCATAGTTTTATGTTACTCATATATGTTTACACACATTTTGTATAATCCAACATTCAGCACCCTTATAATATCATGAATGTCCATCTGGTGTCTTTTCAATCATGGGAACTATGATGATAATAATTAAAGGGAGTCCATTAGGTTACTCACCGGGTAAAGTCTTTCTCATTGAATTCCATGTCCACATGTCTGACATTTTTCCAGGCTCTTTTTTTAGACGAAATACGGTGTATGTTTTTGTTTTGAAACAGATAGAGGTTTCTTGATGAATATTAATTAAAATCGTTTTCTTGTGTCTACTTTATGTTATCTGCTTTTTTTCTTACTACTTTCTTTTCAAACAATTACTTCAATTAGGAGAAAAAATCTTCAAATGCAGATAGCCGAATTAAGCTGATAAATGAACTAATGAATGGTATACGAGTGAGTTTTCTGTGTTTTTAATGTATCTGTTTTGTTATAAAATGAAAATTTCATTTGTCCACATTAAAATACATATAGTAACACACTATTGTACCAGTGCACATTGTACCTTATATATTAATTATCCTCATGACTAAAGATTTAGCCTTCTGTTTATTTGCTTTCCATTCCACTTTTCAATAAATAAATAAATAAGTTGATCTGTTTCCATTAGGTGGGAATGTTTCTTCAAACGTTTAAGCTGTTTATTTCCAGATTTCACCATACATAACTGGCTAGTTTGTATACTCTCAGATTTTCACGTTGTGCATGCTAAATAGCATTTTATTATTGAAAGTAGAGCTAGAATTTAGATAACCTGTATAGGTGCACTGCAGCGATACAGAAATTTGTAATCACATTCACCTGACAAAATAACTTTCACTAGCAGTTTTCACAGTCCAGTGCAAACACTTGCAAACTTTCCAAACGTATGAATTTGTGTCCCATTCTTCATCTCACTAAACTGTTTTAAATTCTGTGACAACAATGGAAAAATATACTCCTCTTATTGGTGGGAAGACGGAACTCTAAACAGTGCTTATAATTGGGTTGATCAGAGGAGTCCAAATATATGAGAACTAAGCATTCTCTCACCTTTTAAGCATTTGTAGTGTAGGGTTTTAGAGCGTCAACTTTAGTCCTAGTGGTATTTCACGTCCTATCTTCGAAGATTTTTAAGACAAAATTGAAAAGCAACATTCTGCTTTCCTTTGGTTGTTCAGCTGATAACTTGTCAATCAATTTGATGATAAGTGTAAAGTATCATATTTTGGATTAAAGTCTATGCAGATATATATTTAACTTGTTAATCATACCTCACTCGCTGCTTGCCTTTTGGGATAGGTTTTCAGTTTATTTGTGTCTTCCAAATAGTATTGAAATTGGCTGATTTACTTATTTTCACTTTTGATCTTAAAACTTAGGGTTGCATCACTATCAAAATTTTTACGGAATTAGAACTAGGTTCTTATGACATAAATAGGCGTTTTTAGTAACTGTGCAATGAAAAGGATAATAATGCGGATGGTAACAATGACCAAACCATCCATTGGGTTGTTGCGAATGTTTGTGTTTAGGCAGCATGCCACAGTCTAATCGCATATTAGTTAGGCTTATTGAATATAACAACACACAACGGTACAGTATTAATAACTGGATGGTGCTTTGAGTACAACTTATTGCTTATAATGAAATCAGTGTATTCCGAATCTATCCAAAAACACTACTAATACTAGTATTATTCACAACAGAATGAATGTTAGGGTTTTATTTATTATAATTCAAAAATTTATTTGTCTGACAAGGGTCAGGCTTACTAGAAATATTTTAATGTTTTAGGATTAATTGTACTATAACTAATTTCACTAGTTTTCATTTTACTGTTAACATGGGTGTATTTAATTAAAATGTACCACTGTGAATAATGTCAACCATATTTATATTATTAGGATTTGTTTTTATTCAGTTTTGATTTTTACGTTGGTCAGTTAGACCGAAATGTTTGGCCTGTGGTAGCATCTCGGCTCCTAGTAAGGATGTTTCAACCATATCTGTGGATTAACTTGATGTAATTTAGTGAGTGGTGACCATCGGTGGAGTCGAGGATGTGTGCCTTTGCATACGAGGTGGGTCTCTTCGCCTAAGTGGTCTAGTGGATGGTACTTTGGCATCTGAAACAGCAGACAATGGGTTCGAGTCTCATTAAGAGTACAGCACTCACTTAGAAATGCATGTACACTCAGAAGATGAGTCTTGAATGGGACGAAATGCGTGTCCTAGATCCTACTGTTAGTAACTATTCACAAAATTATATTTATATTGCTTCTTTCTGTAAAACAAGCACTACAGTTCCCAAGAAACGAGTACCGTTCGAAAGTATCACACTTGCTTAACTTAAGAGTCTGTTTCTTTTCAGCAAAACATGTCTGATGAATAGTTATTTTTGAGTAAAGTAAGATTACTATAAAAATTAAAATGTTTATAAGGAAATCTGTTTCTCAATCCACATTATAGAACTAGTCTTTTTCCTTATCTGCACTTCTGCCTGAGAGAAGTGGAAAATGAATCTTGAGTTTTTGATTTATTCAGAAAAAATTGAATACTCTCAGTTTAGGGATAGTGATTCCTTTTATCGTCCTATTTTCCTTCAGGTGAACATATATGTATACAGTAAAATGATTATTTTCTACAGGTTTTAAAACTCTACGCCTGGGAACCATCATTCATGAAGGAGATTACTCGTATCAGAAATCTGGAAGTTAAATATTTACGCAAATTCACATATTTACAGTCCATTTCATTTTTATGGCACTGTTCGCCATTCCTGGTAAGTGGCTGACCTTAACTTTTCATACTTGTATTGATTTATAAGAATTCTGAAAGTACTATGTAGTTTTTCTATGTAACCTATTTCCACTACAAATTAATGAAGTCTATTAATTATTGGGAATTTACGTAGCTTCATTCCTATGTTTATTAATTTTGTGTTTTCTTGACATTTCACAGGATCTGTTCTTTTTCACTGCTTGCTTTCAGGCTTTGGAGTTTCAGTAGAAATGGTGTTGGTTTTCGCGGGTTTGTAAGGCTCACAACCAACGTGCCGTCTTTCCTTGGCATACTGTCGACTAGTAGACTAGGCGAGGTTAATTTATTAACCCCGCAAATTGTGTCACCCAAGTTGGGACAAGTTAAACTTTAAGCACCACTAACTACAAATCAGCTAATGCCCTCGAGTGGTCAATGAGGTTCATGCACGAAGTTACGCTTGCAGTTCGATGAGGATAAGGTTTTGCAATGTTGCCTGGATTTCTGGTTGCTTAGGAAGGAGGGGATTTGTTCATGTGGTGGTATCATGAGTTTAAAAAGCCTTAGCAGGTCGATTGATGGATATATCCATCGTTGTGCAATTTGCTTGAGACGAGTTAGTATTAGGGAAGGTAAGCTGATAATTTTAATATTTCGTAGGAACATTTTTTGCTAGGTCGCATCTCTCCTTAACCCAAATTTTGTATATTTGGGAAGGTATCGTCGTATACGTGGAAGAAACTATGTTACTGAAGAAAAAATACAACCGTGGTCGTGAGCGAGCCAACAATGTTTGGGTGATCGGTTTATACGATATCTCCCTGCGGAAAGGATTCGTGGAGAGAATACCAGACGGAAAGTCTACTACCTTAATACCTACTGTCATTTGACTGGTGAAACAGGGATCTATAGTGCATACTAATGAATGGAAAGGTTATAACTCGCTGTCATCTCTTGGATGTATTCATCACAAAGTGAACCATTCTAATGATTTTGTGGGTCCAATTACAGGGACACAAGGAGTTTGGAGAAGATTAAAAAATAGGATTAGGGCTATAAATGGATCTCAAAAGGATGTCATTTATAGTCATTTGGATGAATACATGTACAGAATGTGGTGTAACTTATCTTTTGAAACTCTTATGCTAAACTGGGAGATGTTTCTGTCACATCTTAGAGAAAGATACCCTATGTAACAGTTTTATGAAGTTTTTATGCTTTTTTTCCCCATAGATATACGTTTTCCTTGATCAAAAATCCCTCTTTCATGTGACTGGCCCGTTGAAGGTCGTTCGGTGATTGGCAGTTAGTGGTGCTTAAAGTTTAACTTTGCCCCAATGTGATATGCTGTATTTTAATTATGAATTATTCGATTAGTTCAACGAGATTCGTTGTTTCATTACAATGGAAATGTGCTTGATTTCTACCATATAATTTATCTAGGATAGATGAGAAACACGTTTAAAGTTTGCTAAAATTGTTGACTTCTCTTATCTGAAGGTAATTCTAGTGATAACAGCCATGATTCCGTAAATCTATTCTGCTAATTAATTAAATGCTGTTGCATTCGTCATTCGAATTACACATACAGTCACACCTTATTTTATGACTTATGGGTACTTGTTAAGAAGTGAAATGTGTGAATTTTGGGAGTATGAAGGCTTGGAAAATAGTATTCTTGGATCGAGATCCAGTCGCATTACACTTGGGGGGGGTTTAAATTTGAAATTAGTGTGTTCTGTCTGAGTAATTTTGAAAGGTGGAACTGTGGCTGAAAAGTTGCCTATTGTCATTGTCAGTAGTGTGCCTTGATTGTGGATTCATAGAACGGTTTTATTTATTCCCTTCCTATAAAGCCTTTATTTATTGATTATGATACCCTCAATAAAATGTCATCTTATCCACTTTAATATGCCTTTCGACTTCCCTTTATTTTCGACTATTTCGAGATATCGGATGGGTTATTTTATCTTCTAGGCTTTTAAAACTTTTGTATTATAACGTGTTAAAAATATTTGCTCAGTAATATCAGTGTATAATTCTCATTTCAATGAAAATCTTTGCCAACTTATCACTGCCAGGTGGCGATTTCCAGTTTCGGGGTGTATATATTAACTTCGGAGAAAAATATTCTGGATGCACAGAAAGCATTTGTCTCTTTATCTTTATTTAATATCCTTCGATTTCCGCTATTCATGTTCCCGATGATCATAAGCAGCTTAGCACAGGTGAGTTGATTTCCTTCCTAGACGTGTATATTTGTATCTTTTACTTATCACTTTGTCGTGCGTATAATTTTTCAAAATAGTTTTATTTTATGCATTTATTACTGGTCAAAATGAGCCCTTTTTCTGTTTTTTACCATGTGCTTCGATTTTCTCTTGATGATAGTTGATAGACTTGTAGAGGCAGTGCTGGTTAACTACGAAGTGCAAGTGGGAGCACTCTGTTCGTACACACTGCAGTTTTATAATAATTTACGGATGGCAACTAGCTGTGTTGTACAAAAGTATCTAATGTAAACATTCCGATTTATTACAGACGTACTGCTTAGCCTTGATGTCTCAAAAATGAGGAGATTACAAGGAAGTGATTTAGTATATATCATTCTACGTCAACTCACATGTTTGAGAAGTATGTATCCGCCTATTCAAGGGGCATGTACATAGTATTACACTCTGTCTCGTTTTCTGCAGCTACAAAACAGTGGAAGATGCAACAATATCACTGGTTTTTGATAGATTTTCTTTTTGTTATCACTTGCATTTAGTATGGAAATTCAAGTTACAGTGTTAGGTCGAAAGCACTTTCCAGTCGTTGAGATTATTATTGTTTATTAACTCAAGTGTCTGTGACAAAATTAAGGCATAACAGCCAAGCAGCTCCCTTCAATCTATGGCTTTGGAAGGTTGGGGAGAGAGCTGCAGATGTGATTCTTCACCTGGATGTTAAGAATCGATAACTGCAATATTTTCACTAATCTTTGTGTAATTATGGTCACTTTTAATACCTTTAAATTAGTCCACCTTACTATTATTCTCTTTATGCTTCATTTGTGGGTGTAATAAATCCCACAGATAAACCCCTTGTGAGTGCCTACACAGTGATCTGTGTTTATCTCTCTACCATTCTAATCACTGTTTACCAGGTTCAAAGCCATGGACATCGACAAGTTACCAGAGTGTTCAAAACCTGGGCTTAAAATATGCATCGCTGTATGAAACAATTTACATTCTAATAGTAGATCTTGATTATTACTTTGAATAAACTGCCCACCTTGATTGTCATATGATAACTAGTTTTTGTATTACATATAAGCATAAACAATATGCAGTGTTTTTCTGTTTTTCTCCTTTCACATTAATGAAGTTCATCATCTTTTACATTAATCTATAAATTTTAATTCTGGAGATAGTTAATTCAATCTGAACTTTTGCGTAGGTAGTACATCATATTCTTGTCAGTCATTTCTATTTTTCACAAGAATATGAAATCCACTCGGTTATTTTAAAAATTATATTTTCTTTTAAAAAAAAACTCATCTTCGAATGGAATCTCTGTTAGATATATAGTAAAAGTACTGTCCCGCCCCTCTTAAACTATATCATTTTCGAAAACGTCATGTTCTTGTCATTAATTTATGAAAGTACCTTACTCCAATAACTCTTCACAGTTAATGTATGGTGAAAATTACATTTCGAACAGAAGTACGTCTGGTATCTAAGCTTAAATGTTTGATATTTGCCTCTATCAATGAAATAGGCTGTATCTTTCGTAATGTTCTAAACTCCTTACTTAATTTCTTTGTGTCTCAACTACACGAAACTTTATCAGGAAGGCGAACACTATTCACAGTTTTTTGTATATTGTTAGACAATTGTAAAGGGAAGAATACTAATCGAAAACAACAATAACAACAGCAACAAGCCATTTAAAGTTTGTTGTTTAATTGTGAAAATCTAATGCACTGTATTACTGTGATCATTTTAAAGCTTTCTTTACTCAGCAAAAATAACCACAGTTAGCATACGGAACTGCTTTGTGATAAAAGATAAAATAATAGTTGCGTCAAAATATAGCGACCCAAGCGAACCACCTAACAGTTATTTCGATAAGAAATATTATAGAAAATAAATTAACTAGAAGAAAACAGTTATTGAAGGTTGCAGTCTTTTTTATCTTCTGCAGGTGTCTCCAAGTTTGTCACTGGGGTTCTTAGTGTTATTCCAAACCACTTCTGTGCATAAATTTATCAAGATGGATTTATGTTGTCATTTCGTGACCCATTTATCGCTTGAATCGTGTTTTTTAAATGCCTCAAGAATGGTTTTATGAAACTGGTGTACATGGGATGCAACAAATCAGCGAAATCAGAAGAATAATTTACAGCATTGTGAATACAGCGGAATTGTAACAACTGTTTGTAAACCTCCATTCATCTGAGTAGACAGTTTATATGGGTGTCACCAGAAGTTGGATGACTGTCTCTTCCTAAAAACCTATCATCCAAACAGTATTTGCACCATGAGGCTCATCTCATCACTTGTTCAAAGTGATTTTAGGAGTTGTTCGCTTGGGTTGCTACACTTTAGTCTTGTCGAAATAATACCAGTCAGTTTCGATTATTGTTTAAATACAGATGGAATGTATAGACAATAAGAACGCGAGATAAAATGAGATGTTTGTATTTAACCAATAAAAGGGTAGGTTGCTGGGTAAAGTTGTGTTCGGTGGTATGAGAAAAGAGAATAATACAGAGAAAAATGGAATATAACTCCATTATGGATAAGATTTTATTTTGATAAATCACACAGTGTTGTACAGTAATATTTGCTGATCACGTTTCGAGCACAAATTATTACTCATAATCATATCAAGTCACTCACACAACTTTTCACTTCATTTATATACATGAGTAAAATTGATGATTAGACATTTGAATAAATCAATATAAGATAAAATACATTCAGAAATAATATTAGTGTTATCAATCAAGTACAGTCAGATGGGAAATAAGATGATTTTTACAGTAAAAATAATTAACTTGTTAAAATGTTATAATATAAATTGAATACATTGTAACATTATCTGTTATTCTCTGATTTGACTGGTAATAATATCTTCCATATCTCTGGTATTTGCGTTGAGACATTACTGTTGCATGTGTTGGGTGTAGACTGAATGAACCAGGATTGAGTAATCAATCTGTCTCTCCACCTACCTATATTACTTTTTAGGATTTTAATCCTCTCCCACCCTATTGTGTGGTTGTGTGTTAGTGCATGCGGTGCTATAGCTGAGTTGTTTTCTAAATTACTCATCTTCGTGGGATCACTACTCCTGATCTACTAGTTTGACCTATGCAGTTGACCTCACAGTCATTGCAAGGTAGTTTGTAAATTATATCATTTTGTCTTAGTGGGTCAACCTACAGGGTCCTTTAACCTACAGAGCTTGTCCCTGAGTGAGTTTGTAGTTTGCTTCACTAAGAATCCTACTTAGGGTCTCAGATATCCCCTCCTTATATGGTAGAACTGTAGATGCCTTATATTCTCTCTTATTTATGTTAGTTGTCATTATTAGTTTCCCCATTATTTTCATTTTGCTTTCAACCTTTTCTGGTCTTCCTAATGAATGTTATAGGATAGTTATTTAACACCAACGCCTCTTCTATCTGTTTCATTTCATCGTTTAGATCTTTTTTGTGCTACTTAATGCTATCGCTCGGTTTGTTAGACACTTAACTAAGCCAGTCTTTACAGACAACGGATGATATGAATTAAAGTCCAAATATCTATTAGAATGCGTTGGCTTTTATAAACGCTAGTGTTCAGTTTACCTTCTCCTGTTCGTTTTATTTTACAATCTAACATAGCTAATTCTCCTTGTTCAATTTTCGACTCAAATGTGAATTTTATTCCCTTTACTAGTGAGTTTATATGCGTCAAGAAGCTAGAGATATGTTCTTTAAATTCCAGGGTGAAATATATCCACAGACAGAAGGTGTAGCAATGAGATCACCAGTATCTTTGCTCTTAATACATTTAATCCTACTGCAAAAATATGGTGGAGATATTTGGATGACACTTTCACAGTGTTAAAAACAGAACATATATATCAATACCAATGCTACTCTGATGTGGTGTTCACTGTCCACCGGATGGGATATGATGGTTAGGTTTATTCGTCTGGTTAGTTCTTCGCAAAGCCCGAATGACAGATGTTCACGAGTTGGGAATAATGGATGCCTGCCTGCGTAACGAGCTCCTTAGGAGTTGTTAAATTTGGATACACACACTGATGTGTCCATTACCAGTAACTTGTTGTTTTTTGCACTGTTTTAATTAGATTTGGTTGAAAGGCGGACAAATATAATTTGGACTTTAAAAAAATTCCTTAATATATGTCGCCTTAGAATTACACGGTTAGGTAGGGCTTCTTGTTACTCATTGTATCATACTTCATGGTATCGAATTTTCTAGGTGTAGGCTTTTCTACAGAACTGGGGGATGACTATATTTAACGGGAAACTCTACAGTCCCTCTGATTCTTCATCGATGCAATCAGTAGAACATACGAGTCTTATCTTACGACTAAGACCTTGAAGTAAATTATGTTTCTACTGTATAGACACAAAAGTGTAGAAATGCTTGTTTTGTTCTTTTCATGTTAGTTTTTCAGGATGCCTATCTTTATAGATCAGTGTTCCCTTTTAGTAGGAAGAAACAAAAATGAAGTGTTACTTTGATATTCTTCTTGTTCTCACGTGAATTTAATAAGCAGATGAATATTATTGAAAATATAGATTAGATACTTTTGTATCACAATTCCTAACCAAAACGTATTATCTATATAATGCTTACAATATTCAAACTTGTTCAGCGTCTTTCTCAACAGGTTGTTCTCCAGTTTTGCTGATTGAACTGTTTGTTGAACACTATGTAAACTTTCATCGTACGCCTTAGATACAGTTGTTTCAGTTTTGCAGGTGTAGTCTCTGTGATTATATTTCATAACTTGCTCACATGTGTAGCTAACTGTTTCTACAAGAGGAATTATGGTGTAGTGTGTAGCGATAACATAATTTGGTTTGTTATGTTTACTTGATCAACATTGTATTGAATTTCTGTTTCTCTACTTCCAGTGTCATGTTTCAGTTGGGCGTTTAACTAAATTTCTAGCCAGTGAAGAACTTGATTCACAATCCTATTCAAAAGAAGATACACCTGGTGTAGCTGCAGTAATTGAACGAGGAGTATTTGGTTGGGATCCGGAAGATGAACCCACGTTAACTAAGTAATTGACTATTGCTTAGAGTTTTTACATATTTATATTCTGTTGCTAATGTTGCTTATATTTAATTTAGGATTTATTCAACAAATCAAGCGTTTTGATGCAACTGTTCGCTTGTGTGTCTACACATCTCTGAGTTGTATAATAATAATAATAATAACCATATGTCATGGCATTTCGTTTTATTCGGAATATTTAGAAAAGAATTGGTTTCGCCCTTTAGATATTTTAAAAATCTTCCTTTTCCAATGGTTATTTGCTGAAATTAATAATTGGACATATTGATTCAAGAATATTCTTATTTTTATTTGAATAATTTCAATCAGATTCATTTTGCATTCATTCATCTGTCTGAGTGCACATTATTTCCTTGTTTCACTTAGTTTATTTTTTCATTTCAAATTGTATAGAAGTATCTTTACTCATACCTTAAAACCACTTCTTATAAATGTGAATTTTAACGTCTATGACTATCTGTCACAGAGTTGTCCTGGACAAGAGACCATCGATTTTCGTGTACAAATGCATTCGAATTCACTCAACACTCCGTTGCCCATGGATTCCCTTACTGTTTGTTTTGATGAGCATAGTGAAAGCTTTTAAGACATGCTAAACCGATATATGAGAAGCTGATACATAAGTTAATCTATTTTTGCTTCTTCGTGTACCAAAGGTTTTTTTGCTGGACATACAATAGTTAGATGTGGTTATACGTATCACACCTTTAATATCTTCTTCCTCTTCATTATTATATTCTAAATGGTTATCTTTTCGTTGAAATTTTACTAAATGTCAGCTAGGTGTTTACGTGTTAAAGCTGGTGGTCGTTTATCAATTTATCCATCATCTTTCTTTTCGTCTTAGTTTGTTTTTAGTTTGCAGTAACTGTCGATTCCGAATGAATAATGACTCAAGTAAAGGTAGAACACCGAAAGGTAAAAATAGAGGCAGCACAATCAAATCAAAAGATAAGACGACTACCAGTATAATAGATATATTTGTTTTAGGGAAGTGAGCAATTTCGGATACCAGAGCATAAATACTGTGATACAAACATGAAGTATACTACACAGTAATAAGGGATAAACTTCGAAACATGTAGAATACAACCATAAAAGCATACTATTAGCTAATTAACTGAATAATCAACACCTTTATTGTTTTCTTCGTAAAGACTACATATTCAGTTACTGAGTACTTTACCTGTCTTTCTGTTTGAGCAAACGCTTTGTCGTTATTATTGACACTTCTTATTGGGATTAGAAGATAGTGAGGGTAAGTACAGAACTAGACTTCTTTCTCAATCTTATTATTAGGTGAAGTACAGTGCTACTCACACGGAAGAACGGATTTGCATGAATTACTTGTGTTCTGCTTTTTAGTTTTTTTTTATTTGGCTTTATACTATTTATCCCTGTGCTTTTTATGTTGATAACTCACTTCCTTCACCTCTTTTGTCTGAACCTCTGTCAGCGGTTAGTCTATTCATTTAATTCTGCTGAAGAAATCATGTTGCAGGCTACTTACAGATTTTCATCGGTAGCGCAATTTTACTATACAAATCACTATATGGTTGATAAACATTGAAGTTATCTGGTTGTATGTGTCGTTGATGGAAGTCAGTATTTATAATTAATTCACTTACTCTATTTACAAAGGTCAACCACAGTTTTACAGAATGTTCCATTTGCATAATTTGCATTGTTTATTCTCATTGTGTTTTCGTGTTTCTGTTTGGTAGTGCTGTATCTCGGGCGAGCATATTAGTTTCCATTCGTTTTACCCAATATTTAATGAATAGATATGAGATGTGGGACAGCTTTAACCACTACTCATTAAGGCTACATTGTGTAATAACAACAGTATTTGTTCACTTGTTTACATCACTAACAAATTTTATGCATGATATTACTGGTTTTTCTAAATTCTTTTTCAAATGTTTTGAATACTTTTGTGGTAACGATCTCGTTCTTCTTCAGCTGTGGCATATGGTAAATTGCGTTTAAGTATTATGCAGATATTATTCTTTTAGAGTTATTCTTTCATTCACAGAATGGTCTTACTTTTAAACTGCCTTCCTAAGTTTATTGCCTTCCTATTCTTACGCACAGAACGCAGAGTATTACAGCGTTATGTTTTGACTAGTTTTTGTTGTTTTTTTCTGTCCAAAATTAGAAGTTGGGCGTAGTATTTCATTTGAACCAATATTAAAAGGCTCTGATACTGTAACTTACTGCACTTAACGACCCTTAGCCTTATATCTTCTTATAAATAATGAATAAGTTAAATCATAGAATCCAGTCACCTTCGAAGTGATGGATCTGGATTTAGCAACTTTCTACTGTTAATATCTCTTGAATTTGAATTTTGTATGGGCAAGAAGTGTCGCCCTGTTCAAAAGAGCAGAGTTCAGTGCTACTGTAAGGTAGATATACTGTATCCTATCAAAATACCTAAAGATATGTAATGCAACTGACCAAGTAGGAACCAAAGGGTTAGTCCTGATGTTTTACTTAAAAGTGAGACTGAACCAGGGGCATTTTTTATTTTCTCTGACATCATGTGAACAGTCTAGGTCAATTGTAAACCGTTCAATGACTGAACGATTCCATAGTCTTATCGCTCTATAGTTTTACTGACTTTCGGATAAGGTCTTGTTTTTGTCACAAAATCTGGACATTCTGATAAAAACTAATTCCATATAAGAATTGTTTATTTAATGGTGACAAAGATAAGCGCATCATCTCATTTGATTATGGAAAGTAAATTGTGCAAAAGACTATCCAATAAAAATTGTATCACTACTCGAAAAAATAATCAAAAATGGGATTTTTTAAAATTTCACAGCTGGTTCGTATAAAATCCGGTAAACTGAAATGTACACAGCGCAGTATTATTTCCTGTCATATCACATTGTAATTGTTCTATAAGTTCGGGACGGTACATTTAATTTGAATCGTCAGCATATCGTTGACTTTATTATATAATTAGTTAACAAGTACTTCTGTGAGTTTTGGTGTTACCGTTCAGTGTAACGACGTCTAATAATGACGTTAAAACCACCTGATGCATGGAACTGAACAATCTTTTTCCATTCCTTTGTGCTTCGAGGGCCTCGAATATGGCGCTTTGAAATTTCAGTAGCTGTTTAAATTTCAAGAAGTGGGGTTGCTAGCTGCATACCCAGTCTTCCCTCTTTATCAAGCTTACTACGGGCTAGGAGAGTTTCAGAAGTGCATTGACTGGGAACCGAATCATGTGCGTAGTTAACGAGCATTCTACCACTGAACCACCAATGCGAATTAAACAACGGAATGTAATAATTCAGCAGCCTACGTTATGCGACATTGTTCTTCTATCAGACCAGACGTGATTGACTTCATTTCATGTAATTCTTCATATATTTTTGTAATATTGGCTTAGTGTTGGGTAAATCATACTCATAATGGGAACAGAATGGAATAATACTACCGTTTTCAGTGTTCTACTCACTAAGTTTAATTTATTGCATGAGTAACTTCTTTTTATCATCTAGTATGTCTCTTGGGTTGAAATGTGATAATCTGCGTTTTTTGTTAACTCCGCTTGAAATTCCTACCAATTTGAAAAATCTATCTGCCATTGTTTGTGGGTTTTAATAGTGGCTTTGCAACATATTATCAAAAAACACTGTTTTATTTAGTTATTATAAGAGCTTTTACAAGTGGAAATGGTTTCAGTCAATACTCTTCAAGGAAAATATTTTCATTAAGAAATATTAGTTGTGTGATATCTTGAGTGACTGTACAATCTCAACCAGTGTTGGATTGGATTCAGCAGGTGCATACATGGTCTAGTGCCGTGCAGTATTGCAGATGGAATTTAAAGTCACTTGACATTTTGACAGACGCGATTACTTCTTGTACAACCTCTTTATTTCGCAATGTTATACTATGAGAATGTACTTTCTGATGCTGCAGGAAGTAGGTTCAAGTAAATCATGTGATGAATTTCTTCGAAATTTCCATCTCAAATGCCATAGAATTTTAGCTTTTCACTGGGCTGCAGAGTCGCACTTGCGGATTTTATGTAGACTGTAATGTCAAGTAATTACAAATTGAGGAAGTCTCACTTAATTCAGTTTGGATTACCCCGTTGATTGATTGGACCGAAGTGTTTGGCCTCTTTTGAGTTGTTGGCACCCTGTACGGACGCTTCGATGATATCTGAGGATCTAACTTGAAACCTTTTGGTGACTAGTGACTAGTAGTGGAATCCAGGATGCACATTTCGTCCTATTTTGGACCCATCAACGGAATTTGTTTTCATTAAATTTTTCAGTCAGTGATGGTCTTCCCACAAAGACCCACTCGAACTCAGTAACCATAGTTCCAAATGCCAGAGCCTTACCCATTAGATCACGTGGGCCACGAGAACCAGTTAGTCAACGGGAAAATCCGAATTGAATTAAATAATAACTGACATCCGTTGCATAAGATGTGGCTGTCGTGGCTTAAGTGGTCTAGTGGATAACTCTTCGGCGTTTGGAACGATGGGTAATTGGTTCCAGTCTCAGTGGGAATACTATCACTCACTGAGAAGAGCAGGTACGAGTCTTAAATAGGACGAAATTTGCATCCTGGATTCCACCGCTGGTCAGCATTACTTCGAGGTCGTAGTTTACAGTTTAATTCCAGGTTGAACCTATACAATGTTCACTTGGATAACTTTTATTTGGCTATCCTCATATATATATATATACGCTTTTTTGACAATACTGAGTGGTGTTGGGCTTTAGCTAAATTGGATTAGTACTTTTTTCCAAGCAAATTATTCGATGGTTTCTCCTCGTGCTCTCTACTGGCTTTTAATCGCTTAATGAGTTAATAAACCTATCTATGTCTTCTAGTGGAAATAATTTCTGATTTTTGAATAATTATCATTTTTGTATCATTACAAATTAGACTTCTATTTCTAAATCACTGATCCAAAATTAGTTTTTATTAGATTTATTTTCACTGTCCACCATTCAATATGTTTTAATGAAAAACAGGTTTCAGTCATATGTAGATATTCTGTCTTTAAAGGCATAAATCTAATGTGATGTTAGTAGGCAGGTAGTATGCTATGGACATAAACATGCTAATAACAATAGGTCGAATGGACTGTCTGCACGAATTTGTATTAACCTGATATGATTTTTACTGGTGATAAAAATGTTTTATGGATGATTGAATGGGTTGATGAAACAAAGCTTTGTCTCCTCGATTCTAGTTTTTCATATTGTCTGTATTTCTTTTATCAATGTTAAGAATACATGGACTAGTCAATTATACACACTTTTCAATAACTAGTAAATTAAACAATTTAGTATCACTCTTAGCAAAATTCTCAATGTAATCACTAAACAAATGCTGCTTTGAACAGTTTTTTTGTACGGATTTGATTTGTTTAAAGTTTTGATTACAGGTTGATATAAGTTAAAGGACCATTGAAAGCGAGGGAGTAGTGGATAGCTGTTTTTTCCAAGTCTGGCCCATGAGATCTAACTTCTAACAACTCGTTGGTAGATTTTAACGCGACCACCAGGGCGACTGAGTCGGTTGCCAGTGGCTGGATGGTATACGAGCTTGCCTTGTAACTGGGCCCAAACCCCGGAGGGTGCGTATCACCGATGAGTACCAGACTAGCACAAAACGTCTGTCCAGTACTCCCTGGTTTTCAATGGTTCTCTTACTTTTATCAACCTGTGATCAAAACTCGAAACAAATACTCTTTTGTCTTGGTCTAGTTTCGAGTAACTCTGAGGTCGGCGGGACGCATTTCTACGTATCTAATACAACTTATTACTTGAATGTCCTTGCTTATTAGTGATGCTTTGGACCCTTTTTCTGGCGTTTGTCAATTATTGTTAGTCTTCAGTAGCATCTGACTACGGTACTGAAAAAACTGATGTCTCCATAAAGTTTCAAATATAAGACATTTATTGAAAACAGAAATCTGCATGCCTTATGCAAAAAACTTAACTCAGTTTCATCAGATGATATTTAGAATAGGATGAAAATGTCCAGCCTACTTTGAGTCCACCAAATAAACCAAAGGACAGTTACTCACGATTGTGGCTATTAAATGTAGTGGTGTTGGTTTTGTTTTTATTATGCTTAAACAATATAGAATTATACTCTGAAATGTCATTTCTTTTATATATATATTACATATTTATATATATTCCAGCATATCCATTCAGTTTCCTGAAGGCCAGCTAACTACAATCATGGGTAGTGTTGGTTCTGGAAAATCAAGTTTATTGCATGCCTTACTTGGTGATATGGAAAATTTCAATGGACGAGTTAATGTTAAGGTAGGCTGATTGAGTTCTATTTGATTTTCTTTTGTTTTCATTGTTTGATGTTGCTTTTTTAAAATCGCATTCATCTTTCCCATTAAGAGTTTGGCTCGTTTTCTATCCTAAAAGGCTCATCTACACAAGCTCTTTTTAGGTGTTAAGAAAGAATAGTATTACCATTCATAGTAATAATAATAATAACTGATCACTTATCTATTCATTCCACTCCAAATAACTCTGTGTTTGTCGCCTGGTTTTATCAGTTCGCTAATCTGCGAATCCATTATGATTCTAGAATACATTTGTGTCCACTACAAAATTTCCTCTACTGTCATATTAGGCATAGTTAACACTAGTCAATTTTAAGAAGAGACAACCTTAGGCACCAATTTAAGGTTTTAAACTGTATCACATAGATTTCGAGTTGTATACTCTGCTATTTAGGTGTTTTAAAACAGTGTTAATCCGCTAACAAAAGGCTTCCTGCCGATTGCCTCCAACCATCTAAAGACACCAAAAGTGTCAGAGAATTCCTAGAAGTGAGTCGGCGATTAACATATTAATGTAGGCCAAATTTACCAACTAATATAAAGTAAATCACATGACAAGAAGGTTCAAATTCCAAGTCAATAAAAAATGATCAGTTCAGATGTAAATCGACTATCAGTCACGAAGAAGGTTGCCAGGACATACAATTCTATCATTCGTGGAGAATTTAAATCAGTTCATTTTATGCTAAAACTTGTGCTGAAGATGTTATCCAGAAGGACGATAAAAGCTTCGCAATTAAACCAACCAGCTCAGCGAACGCAACTAATTCCAAATCATCCACCTAAGCTACAAATCTTCTCTACGGTTAGCTTTTATTGATATAGTGATAAATAAGGATAAGGCTAATTTACATTGGGATAAAAATATTGTTTCAGGGTTTGTCAGAAGTTGACATGAATGTTTATCTATTAACTGACTGCTAGAAATCTTACTGTGAAGCAAAGTTTGTCTTAAATGTTTTGTTTTTATAGATAAAAGTAACACCCTATTTACCCCTTTCCATTTAAGGGCATGGCGTGTGATGTTACTTGGTTGTATCCTTAGTATATGTCCAATTCATTCCTATTTCCTTCTGCATATTTTTTGGGCAACTGGTCCTTTTCTGGTTCGTTGTCCACTGAATCTCCTTATTACCTATCCTCTCTGGTCAGTTGGTCTTCAGTGTCTGTCAAGGGCGGGTGTTAATGAAAATATACCGTCTATTGTACATTTGTATAAGTCTCAGTGATACTGAAATAAATCATTCGGACCAATTTTCCGAACTATTGGAATTTTTGGTCTGATTATAGATGAGATTTCTACGCGTATAATTTTTGTGATTACTCACTTTCCACGTGAAAATATTAAGAGATCTGTCTGAAGCAATCAAGACCAATAATCTTGTAATTTATTTGAAGTAAATTATATTATTTAATATACCAGAAAATATGCATTGTTCACCCCAATAAACAATACTTTCATACATTTATCTAAATATTCGGGGCGAAATTCAATTTATTTGTTGAATTGTATTAATAGCTAATTGTTGAATCATGGTAACTTGGATTGGTTTACCATAATAACATTTAGCGTGCGATGTTTTTTTGCATATTATATACATATTTTTTGCATAAGTAAACATGTGCTTGACTGATTTATGACTTTACTTTCGTGTTATATAAAGCTTTTAATATTGTGTTTACTTGTATTTTGCTTGGATATACTAACATATATACAAATACACAAACAAAAAGGGTACAGTGGCCTTTATCCCTCAGCAACCATGGATATATAATGCCACCCTTCGGGATAATATTCTTTTTCATCGTCATTATGAGCCAGCTCGATATCAAAAAGTGTTACAGGCTTGCAATTTGATCCCAGATCTGGAAATGCTGCCTAATGGAGATTTGACTGAAATTGGAGATAAAGGCATTAATTTGTCCGGTGGACAAAAACAACGTGTAAGGTAGGTCGTTATTTGATGCCACAATATACAATATATACATATATGTATATACCCAGTTATTTAGAAAATCTAATGTTACATGTTCCCTTTTGTTATTATTATTGTCGCTGCAATCATCTGTTTTCATTTGACAATGTAAATGCATATTGTCCTTCTCAATATTATTACTTGATTCAAGGATATAATTACGATGCATTAATCATAGATTAATACTGGTCTCTGTATTCTGCACTGCTGAACAATGTCTGAATGCAGTTTGATTTAAGCTTCTGTTGTCATAATTAATAATTCTGTACCAAAAAATGTGTACAAACAAATAAGTACAATCAGACTAACGTAGTGGATTACCAATTATATTTACTTCATTGTATGTGGATTGAATCAGGTGGGGACTAGTTGGTTAGTGTTATGTGTTGCGAATTTCTCTCGTCTTCTGTACTCACTGGCTTGTAAATATATGGCTTACCAGAGTAAGCCAACTAAGTCTGATCCCTGGGTCACGAAATCTAACAGTGTTTCGCTTGTCGAAGATTGTGCAGCTAATTATTATAGATATGACTGTATAACCAACCCCTGGTGTCCAACAAGGATGTCAGTATTACTGTTTTTATTGAATATTTTTTTTACTGATACATATATATATATATACTTATTCCCCCTATTAGCTTAGCTAGAGCGTGCTACGCCGACGCAGATGTATATCTTCTGGACGATCCATTATCAGCTGTTGATGCACATGTGGGCTTACACATTCTTACCCATGTGTTAAGCCGTTCTACTGGTATGCTGGCCTCCAAAACATGCATCCTGACCACCCATAGTCCTAAAGCTCTTCCATTCTCCGATCGTGTTGGCCTTCTTGTTGATGGACAGTTAGTTGAACTGGGTAATTACAGGCAATTACTGCATTCACAAACAAGTCGTTTATCTGCATTCTTGGTGACAGCTATACGTGCTGAGTCCGAGAATCGATCAGATTCACCGAAAGACATAGTAGATGGCCCATCAGTTGAACAGATGGAAGATGTACAGAAAGCAAGTAATATATTCCTTAATACTGGTAAGTCAAATAATTAAAATACACTCATTCAAAAATATTTAAAAAAGTGAATGTTTATCATTTCTGACTTGCACACTGCTGGGAAATAACTTTTGCCTTATCTGATGTCATTTATGTTTGTGTATTTCATGACTAGTTTTCGTTGGTAACCTAAACAGTGAAGTATATTATTTATTGAGACACAAGTCAGTAACACTAGTTACACAGTAAAATGCATCGTGGAATGCCTGAATGACAGTATGAAAAATAGTAAGTAAAACACTTGTGAAACTTTAGGATTGAACAAAAAAATATACCTATCAAGTTCATTCCAAAAAGCTTTCACTACTTCATATGACTTTCATTGGTAGCAGCAAGATTTTAACTATTGATTTCGATTCTTAGTTGTCTCCGAAAAGATCTCGAGCTTACTCTTCTTGCTATGGGGAAGTGAATGGGGAGACTGGTATTACCGTTTACACTGTTATGTTCTAAAGATGATTACGGAGACTTGCTTATTGTAACACTACTTGTTATTTCACCATAAATGAACTATGAACTATTTTTTTCTTCTCAAGACTCACAAGAACCGCTTTCATACCTGTCTGTACATTCAAGTCCAACATCTCAGCTTCGTCAAAGAACTCAGTCGGAAACTCATAGTATAGATCGTCACAGTAATATACGATTTTCAAACTTAACCTCAACAACAATGTCTCAAAAATCAGTAAGTAATCATATCCTATCTAATTTATAGAAGTTAATATGTTGTATCTTTTTTTTTTGAACGATAGTTATTATTTTTTAAAGAAAAGTTGATTCATCCAGAGAGTACTCATATTGTTTAGCAGTTAAGTGAAGATTAGCACTGAGTGTTTATTTGAAAGGTTCCACTGTACATTGTTAAACAGAATCAATCATTCCATTTTACTACTTCACTCTCCAATACGCTTTATTCTTGGTATGCAAAGACATTGTTCAAATATGTCGTTGCTTCAAAATAATTTATTTATGGTATTCAACTTTGTGAAACGGAAAGGTAATCTATCTTAAGACCCATTTAAAAAAAAGAGCAAAACCAATTTGAAATTGTGCTCATCTATCATACAGGCTTTTATAATAATTTTAAAGCTGTAGATAAACAGACAAAGTCAATCGATTCAGTTTTTCAACCAAAAAAGTAGCATCGAACAGAACTAATTCGCTTCTTAAACGTTGTCATCTCATTTGTGTACAATAAGTAAGAGTTAATATAATCCTTATAAGGTGTGAAGGCAGATCTACAGAACATGATATAAAATTGAACTGTTCTAATTCACTCTGTTTAAGTGATAATTAGTTCTAGACAGTACTCCCGTTATCTATTAACAGGTTAGTTCAAAAAAACTGACAGAAAAATGAATATAAACATCTACTTTTTCTTAGAAGGGCCTTATTAACCAAGCATTGTAAATCTGGGGAATTAGAATAATATTAAGAATATATGCGCTAACCTGTGATATTGTTTATTGGCAAATCGGATTAGTTTATGGTAGTTCTTCATAAAATTATCAGGAGATTGCGATATTTTCCAATGAAATAAATACAAAGAATTGAAAAGAACCTGAGTGAAATATGAAGGAATGATAAAAAGAATACAGAAAGTTACGTAATAATTAAAATAAATTCCATACGGGTACTCAAAGTTTTTGACTATTTAGATAAATACTCTCTACTTTATTGCAAATCTCAATTCCCTCAAATCCTTTTTAGAAAGCGTGGCAAAATGTATCTCATGTTTGTTCTTTTATTAAATATATCACATGTAGTAAGGTTAAAGACGATAAACTGTATGTGGAATGTCATCAAGTATATAAATCTGTTTAGATCTGTGCTGTATCCATTAAGTCAACTAATATATAATCTTCTAGTAGTTTAACTGTAGGTTCTGTCTGTGCTAGAAGTAGTACATTCTAGATTTCCATCATGAGCTGACATCGGTTAGAGAACCATTACAAAACCTGGGAGTACTGGACAGCTGTTATGGCCTAGTTTGGGGCCCTTCATCGGTACACACCAAATCAGTTTGATGCTCACTAGCGACTAACCCTATTCAAGCGGGTAGTTACCCGACTCCTAGTGAGAAGTTGTCGAAAAGGCCTTCAATAGCGTTCACCGAGAAGTAATTTGGAAACTACTTCAAGGCTATGGCGTGCAGTGCCCAAATCTCTATCAACCTCATTCAACAGCTAAATGACAATGTCACGTGACAGGTGATTCACAACGGAAAACTCAGTGAAGCCTTTGAAGTGAATACAGGAGTAGGACAAGGCTGCTGCCTATTATCACCCACGATTATATTCCTAATTATAATGAACTAGTTTATGCGTCAGACTGTGGGGAGTGAGAGGACTGGAATACGCTGGACCAGCGATAAGAAGACTCTAGAAGATCTGGATTTCACAGATGTTAAGTGTTTAATGTCACACAAACTCTAAGACTTACAGGAGGAAAGCGACAAACTGATAGAAGAAGTAGGCAGCGATGACAGGACTCCAGGTGAACATAGAGAAGACAGAGGTGAGGAAGATAACCAACGAACCGCAAGAACAACAACAAACAGCACCAATCACCATCAACGGCAAAGATTTTAAAGAGGTCACTTCCCTCGCTTTTCCGGCTAGGAAGCATCGTTTCAACTACGGGCGGAACAAATGAAGGTGTCAAAGTCAGAATCGGTAAGGCGAGACACGCCTTCATTAATGTGAGACTAGTTTGGAAATCTTCTGCACTCCTCCGCATGAGGAACAAGATTCGCATTTTCAACACCAATGTCAAATCGGTCCTTCTATAGGGATCAGAAACTTGTCGTGTCACGAAAAGGATTTCCAACAGGTTGCAGATTTTTATCAACAGATTCCTTAGCTGGTTGCATACTGAAGATCAAATGGCCAGAAATAATCAGTAACAAGAAACTCTGCAGTGGAACAAACCAAGCAAGACCCGATCGCTCAACAAATATGTAGGAGAAAATGGAGATGGATTGGGAATACTCTGATAAGACCGTTGATTGACATCTCGCGCCAGGCCATTACTCGAGTGGTATCCAAATGAGAAGCGCCGAGTGGGTAGTCAGTGTGTGAGTGACATGGAGGATATCGTGTGAAAAGGAGGTGAGAGATTATGGTCAATCGTGAAGAAGACGGCAGAGAATAGAACAAAGTGGAGATGTGTTGTTGAGGCCCTGTGTTCCACTCGGAACTCAAGGGAATGAAAATGAATAATAATATAAGTGGGAAGTCGTGACCAGTGGGTAACAGCAGGCCACGTGTGAAGACAAAAACTCGCCGATGACATCGCGTAGTAGTCGCTCTATATCGTGAATTGGAAGAAGCTGGAATTCATAGGTCATTGAATCCGGTCCCAGTGTCTGAATGGTTTATGTGTTCGCCTTGTAACCAGAAGGTCCCGGGTGGGTGCATTCTGTGAAGAGTCTCTAACTAGGCTGAAACAGCTGTCCAGTACTCCCTGGTTTTCTGATGGCTCTCTAACCGATGTCAGCTCATGATGAAATCCTGTAACCAACCGAATCTTTGCAAACCAGCAATTGAACAGTCTAGATTTTATTGTTTCATTTGGGAATTCATTGGCATTACCACATTTTATGACCAAATGTCTCTATGTAAAAGTCGTGGGCTGCATTTGACTTCGTTCTGTTTCTGTGAGCATGTAAATCTTAGCTTGCTCATAAATCAATCACCCGGCAGATCTTCACAAATGTAGTTGTCTTATCGTAGTTATAGTGAAAGCAATCCCGATTTCACAACGTTGTAAGGATGGTCATCAGGGTTCAGTCGGTGTTTGGACAATACTGTGTTTCTTTTGCTTCAATAACCAATAAATATACTATGTTCGTTTCATATGCTTAGCTAGGTACACACTGAAGTATGAAATTCTCTTTGACACGATCGGTCATTCTGAAGACCTGACCTGACATGATATTGATTTTTCCATAGTTATCATACCGAATAATTAGCATATGTCACATTAACAGATTGCTTGACATCATTAGTACTCATTCTGAAAAAACAAAACAAATATTAGCTTTGATTTAGATAGAATGCTTTTAGTATTCAGAGTGTGATTAATGTAATTAGAAAGAATTGTTCAGAATTATTCATCTTTAAGTTTACTTACTTGTTTTTGTTTAGTAGTGTATTCCACTGTCTAATCTCTCATATCCTGTAAGTGCCTTTCATAAAAAAGAATTTACGCATGCATAATATAATGGTTCTTTGTTTATCTCATTTATTTATGGACAGCAATAAATCATTTTCCTATGATTACAAACAGGTTTTAATGATAAACGTGTTTATAAACACGTATGTGCTTACTACACCCTCAAACGAAAAATCATCATCACTAGTGACCTCTGCCTAATCATATTTACAAATATTTTATTTTGTCGACTAGAAACCCAATACTTGTTTTGTATGTGCCTGTGTTTTTCAAAGTGCTTTGTTCATGGGCTTTAATCAGTCACTGCACTGAAATCTGTGATTTTTCTCCACTCATTTCAACAAGGAATTTGTTGGAAATATAAAACCGATCAGTCATTCGAACAGTCACTTTTAACTTATTGCAATTGAAATTATGATAAGATGTGATTGATATGGTGAATAATGGATGGAGTTCAGTGGGTATCATTCATATGACGGCTAAAATGAATATATATGTATATATATATATATATATATTCTAGACGGGCAGGGCAGAGATGGTTCTAGTCTAAGTTTTATTACAACTTCGATAACCGGTACTGTGTTCGTAAACAAAATTCGTTGAACTCTAGACTTAGTAGTAAAGTAATATGCACATTAGAATCTCTAAATATGAAAGTAAGGAGTAAGTAGTAAATTCATATAAATTTTGCTCAGATGTCAGTTGCCAGATAAACGTGATAGTAGTAAATACCAACTTATGGTTGATTCAGGTTCCTTTTCTAGTCCTAACGATCATTGTGTACACGATTAGTTTGGATTTTTGAGTGACCTCATAAATTATAAAGCCCACGGACCCGGGGTTAGGGTTCATTCTGCACGAAAAATGTTCAAAAATACAAGTATTTTTATATCTGTAGCCGAAATGATATTGTAAGTTGATCGTGACTGTACTCAGTTTATTTTCCGGAAAGGATAAAAGTAAAATGAGTAACTCTACCCTGAACTCCTCTTCTTTTATACGAGTAATTCTCACCCAAATTCATGTATCCATATCAGTCAGTATATTTCCTGCAACAACCTTTCAGATTGAATTTGTTGCAAGTGATAATTGCTTTTGTCACAACCCTCCTCGCTAATATGTTGCTTAATAATTGTTTGAGATTATGAACGTCAGTTATCGCAAATATCCCGTGCTCTTCGGGTTGGTGAACTTTGAGAGCTGATCGTTTCAGTTAATAATTGTTCATAACTTTGGAGTGTTGTTTCTTCAACAATGCTAATATAGCTTACTTTTTTTAGATTGTGAATTCATAATGTTTTAAGGAAAAATCACAAACGTACTCAAACGTACATGTTTCAGAAATTGAATCTATCCATTAAAGACTGCTATGTATTCACTATCGAATCATGAGATTTTGATAATTGATTGTTTATACCCCACATAGTATACTCATGTAAAAATTCAGTCTCAGTAAACTTTATATCAAGACTGTTTAATATGTGGAGTCTATTTTATGCATAACAGAAGTAAGATAGTTGTACTTTTTATTTAAGTAATATTGACTTTTGTTTTCTTTTTATGGAAACCTTTTTATCCTATTTCGCCTTTTTTCATCTCATCAGGAAAGATCATCTATAGCAGTTACTGAAAAGAAACATGTATCTGAAGAAGAGCAAAAACCCGATCCACATACAGCTCAACTAGAGAAAGCTCTAACTGGTCGAGTAAGTGAATGTTTCTTTTTGTAATGGACGATAGATGTATATCTTCGATCAAAAAATAAGCCTGCTTATCATTCTTCAAATATTTTCATACTATACTGTTAATACTCTATGTTATAAAGAAATGCACATTTGAAATTGTATATAAATATGCCTGGGAAGTGGATTGATTTCGTTATAGTTTTCAATTTCTATCTAAAACAGCGAAGAGTACTCAACAGTTGTTTTAATCTACTTCGAGACTCCTCAGAATTGTACGTACCTTTTCTCATATTGGACTAACTGCAGGATTGTCAAGTCCAAATTAGTTTTCAGTAAAGCAATAAATAAGTGGGAAGTCGTGACCAGTAGGGTACAGCAGGTTGAAGATGAGACAGTAACTCATCTAAGAAGACATTGCGAAATGGTCGCGCTATGTCGTGAACTGGCAGAAGTTAGAATTCAAGGACCATTGGATCGGGTCCCAGCGGCTCAATGGTCTACGAGCTCGCATTGTAACCAGAAGGTCCTGGGTTCGAATCCCGGTGGGTGCGTACTGCTGAAGAGTCCCAAACTAGGACGAAACAGCTGTCCAGTACTCCCAAGTTTTCCAGCGGTTCTCTAAGTGATGTCAGCTCATGATGAAATCCTCCATGCAATCTTTCATATACAACGGTAACTGACATTGTATAGGTTTGAAGTAATAGTGTAACAACAGAAGACAAGGGCCAGGCAACAGATCGTTTATTAAGGAAAATCAACACATATTAATAGATTTTAATGTTCATTATTGTAGATTATTGTTAGTAGAAAATACAGTCTTTTGATTGGTTGTTTCTCACAGAAATTTAACCTTGCATCTCTTTGTGGCTGTGTCAGATCATCCATATGCTAACTGTACCCGCCTACGGAAAGTCTTTGTTCTCGTTTTCTCACCACCAATATTGGGGACATAAACACCGACGTCAATTACTGTCTACCAACTTTGGCTATCAGCCAGCTCTCACCACCATAGTATTAGTGAATATATGAAATCCTGAATCATTACACTCCAGTAATTTGAAAACACTTGATACAGACTGTAATTGTCGTTTTAGGCAACAGCATAATATTTCGTCGACTCGGTTGCAATTGTTCACGAACAAAAACAATTTCACTGTCGAAATTCTCAATAACTTCATATTTTCTTAATTAATTAACATAAAAAGCTAAAGAGATGTTAATGCCATGTAAGTAAAATCCAAAGAATTATTCTGTTAGAAACGTTGAACTTAAATTCCCCTAGGTAAATTAAAAATTATTTATACACTTTGAATGGGAATTGGTAAAGGATTTAAACTAGATGAAAGACACGATGTGTGAGACTGTATAATCAAACCAAACAACGAAAAATTTCCATGTTAGGAAATGGTGTAAAATCTACTCCTTCATAAGTACATCAATCCATATATGTTAGCGTATAGTCCATTTTGTTTTCAATAGGCAGTGAATTACATGTCACATAAATTAATAATCACTTTATGTACAATCAATACTATTTGAACATGATAAAAACCTGTGGCTTTTACGGGATAAACATGTCTGCTGTCAGCCCACTTTTCCAATCAACCTGATTCACAAAAATTAACTGATGACTAGACTGAAATTCTGTGTGTATATCACTGAATCATTTAATTCATTGTCAGCAGGTTAATAAGCATATAATTGCTCGAACTTCATCAAATGAATAAAAAAACAACAGATTCAGCACTTTTACGCATGTATGTAAATGCAGCTTTTCCCATATATAATCGAATGGCTAGCAAGGAGTGATGACTTGGCAAAGGCGAACAAGTAAAGCTCGTAAAATACGTTTCAAATATTCCGAGAAAAGCAAAACTTTTAATCAGCTGGTGAAAGGAGTCAACTTACTTTCTTTTCACAATGCATAATTCTATTTAAATTCTAGAGTTATATATATATATATATATATATATATATATATATATAACAATTGCCTACTTTTCTATTTCTATCTCTCTTTTCTTTCTCTTTCTTTTTACTTTCGTGCAGATTAAACTCCAGGTGTTTTTAACATATTTTAAAAACATTGGTCTCTTTTATGGTTTATTAATGCTAATATTTTACCCGGCTAATCATCTTGCATCATTGGGAGGGAATTTGTGGTTAGCTGATTGGTCGAATGATGGTGTTAACTATCGAAATCTAACTGATCGTCTGCTGAATGCATCCAGTTGGACAGGATCAATAAAAGACTCACAATATGAAAGTGATATACAACAGTTTTATGCTCAACGTAATTATCGACTTTCGATTTATGCACTACTTGGATTTGTTCAAGGTAAAAATCTGTTTACAGATGAATAACTTATTCACTTAACGCCGTTTCATGATTAAATGTTGAATAGAAAACACTGTGGCTCATTCGAATAGCGGTTCAAGTTGTAACCAGTACATAACGGGTTTGAAATGCATTCCACCTAATAAGGTGTGAGTAGCTAGATCGTATCTACTTGCTCGTACACAGTTGGCGTGGTACACGGAGGAGTGTATCTAATTGTGGAGTAACGTTTTATTTCAGTAGCTTCCTTATGAATTTTCCTATTACGTTTTCTTATCTTGTATTGAATTTACATTCAGCTATGTTGGTGATGCTTGTAGCTAATTACTTCTACTTTGTACAAAGTAAGAGCAACAGTTTGTGCAGATTAAGATGGTAACATTATTCATTTTGTGGGCTTCTCATCATCTGCATATAGCCTAAAGAAATTATTAAGCTTATGTACGGAACAGTTTTAACATGTTTGTAGATGTTACATGATGTCAGTTGACAGGCGGTTCCAAATGTAATAAACAGTGCTCAGAAAACTACACTTTTTTCCCACAGAGTTGGAGTTTTGTGAGCAATCCAGCTGTTTACTAGTTCAGTTTTCTTTGTAACTAGATGACCCTATTATAACGGGTGAGCAACTCTCCCCAACTGAGTTTACTTAGAATCTCACTCGGACTATGGACAGCTTTCAACCAAATAAGTTTTTTTTGACGATGTTGATCACTAAACTTTGTCATATCCCATAAAATTTCAAGTAAAATTAGGGATAAGTAACGTGTTGAAGTTTTCTTTCAGGATCCAGGAGCTTACTATCGTAGACAATTGGAGAAAGGTTCCTCATACAACACAACTTTTTCGACATGCTGAATAAAATGTATTATGAATACCAAGTTCATTTCAACCCACTGTCTTTCCGTTATAATATTTAAGTGTGTCCTTATACTTCTTAACTAATTTCTCTTTCCATGTGAAAGTATTTCTAATGCTAGAATTTTGCAGGTTGCTTATGAGAAAGCAGATTAAAGCTACTCGAGCGATTGTTTATTATCAAGTCGTTTGTTTAATGGTACTGTTTTGTCTGACGATTAAAATCTTGTCATTAAGCTAAGTAAGGATGTACCTGTATGACATCTGTGTGCCGCTACTGTTAATGCTCACTCAACTAAACAAAGCATCGTCTATATATTTTGGTTCGGAGATTTTTTGACTGGACACAATATTCTTAACTGTTCTGTATATGTGCTATATCTTTGTACTAATATTTTTTGTATCTAACGGTTTTTCTTCTTTTTGAAATATTCAATTGGTTGTTCAACTTTCAATATGAAGGTATTTTAAAAGCAGTCGCTGATATTGTTGGTTTCATTGGAATACTGGATGCTAACACAAAATTCTACACACATTCTCTGCTAATGATTATGAAATCAAGAGAGTTGGCGTTAGGTTTCTTAAAACGACGTCTTCCTCAGATAAACAAGAACCCACCACTTTACAGCCTTATGAAGTGTGACAATAATATGAAGGATAGTATAGCCCACAGTGCTCCTGGTAAACAAAGTTGTCATTACAACGAAACTCCTGTTTCTTGTGTTGTCAGCTGCCTGACAGCAGATTTTTCAAATATTGAAAGTGTCTTGCCATTTACCATTACTGGTCTCATCAATCTATTCCTGGGCATGGTGATCACTTTCGGACAAGTGTTTTGGATACTTGGGTCAGTATGTTCACTGACGGGGATTCTTGTCAGTCTAATATTACTCGCTGTTTTTGGGATATGGTTGTGTCATTTAAAGGCAGGTTGTATGGAAACACTAATATAGAAATATGGCATGCACATATACCCGTTATTTTTTTTTCTCTGTGTGTAATATATTTGTTTATTTGTGTACATGATTAATCCAATTTGGGCGTAGATCGATTGATGCAATTTTCCGATTCCATCATTATTTGTCATCTCTGATTTATTTGTGTTCAGATATGCGTTTTAATAATGATCAAAAGCCTTGTTACCTTTTGATTTTCACTTAGTGTATCCAACTATCCTACTGAGCTTTATTAATCCTGCCTATTTTTGTTTCTTCATTTCCGCATCCTCTTAGTTTTGTTTGCAATGTGTTCCATATATACTTTGGCTGTTGGTCATTTGGGATGTGTTGTTCGACTGCATAGTCGACTATTGAGCTATGTGCTGCATGCACCAGCGACATTCTTTGACTTGGTACCTCATGTAAGTGTTCTAAGATAACCATTTATAATCATTTTCAAAATAATTGGGTACATTTTATAAATAAAATGATTACAACTGTTATTGCTATTCGGGGATCAGGTGCTAAATAGTGTGTATTGCTGAAAAATTGAATTGTGTCAAAAAAAATTTTTTTTGAATGTTAATAACCAATTAAGTCATGTGTTTATGTTAAGATCTGTGGCCGAATATCAGACAGATATTTCTAGGTGTCTGTAGACATCACGATTTATAATCCTGAAAATCACTACGATCTAATAGTATTCTAATTTGATTGTTTAAATGAGCTTGATACAATTTGAATTTTTATCAGTGTTGTATATTAAATGCATAAATGAAAACTGTGTCGAACAAGTAATTCCTTCTAAGAGCTAACTAAATGGATTCTATCGACCATTTTTGAGAAGTGGAGATCGAGCACTGTCATAAGTATGAATCTTGGACAGTGTGGTAAAGTGTGAGTGAATTGATATGATTATGAGCAGTAATAATTTGTGCTCGAAACATAATCACTAAATATTACTGTACAACACTGTGTGATTTATCAGAATAAAATCTTATCCATAATGGAATCAAGCACTGCCGTTCATTTTGATCAGTAGTTGATTGCAGTTAGTAGGACATCTTTAGCTAAATTTCTTACTTGGTGGTACGCATCAACAATATGTATGTGGCACCCCAGATATTCAAACTGACCTCACTCAATATTGCATGACTATCAACTGTATAGCTTAAAAGAAGGAATTGTTCGTTATCGCACCCTGCCAGGTGAAATGTCTGAAAAACATTTTCCGGTGATTATGCTTGTAGGTATTCAATGAAGTGAGCTGAAGAAAACATCGTCTGAACTATTTATGATTACTAAAAGTATACGATGAATAATATGAAATTCAATACGATAAAATAAGTGGAATGCGAACAATAAAGAATTGTCGGTCACTGGAAAAGACTTCCTACTAGAACTACACAAGTCCTAGCTTTTGGCACCATAGTTATGGTTGAAGATGAAGTGTATGCTCCTGTATACAGCTGAACGATTTCGATGCATAGACATAACTGTTTATTATGGTTTTTCTTCATACTTCACTGCTTATTTCTCATGAAACGACTATACACTGTTGACAAAAGAACTGGTTGATTTAGAGTACACAGATACATTCTTGTTAAACACAGTCATTGACAAGTTTGTGTGATATGCATTTAACACCCCACAGTAGAGACTGACACTGAATAATGTAGAATCAAATTGTCTATCATGCGTCGGTGGCATAGCGGTTAGGACGCTGGCCGACCCCCGGCCGACGCACTCCTTTGCCTCGCTAAGCCAGAAGTAGTGCTGGTGAAGAGGAAAGGTTGGGCATGAGGCTAGCAACCTCATCCTGTAAAAATAAACACTGCTACATAAACTTCAAGCCACTAGCTTGAAGCCCTATGTTCCACTGGGGAACGTGAAGGAAAAAAAATTGTCTATCTATTTTCGCTGTCCTGAAAAAAAAGTTTGAACGATCATAGAGTAAAGAAGAGAAGCTTTACTATGCCAAACATTTCTTGTGCAGATTTTCATTATGTCAGTTCTTAGAGAATGTTTCTATGAGGTGTGCCTAAAGTAGGCAGGGGGTATTGGCATGCAATGAACATAACTTGCACTATTTTCTCTAGCCTGCTGCTTAAACACAGAGTATTATTATGTCCCACTATATAGCTGTTGTCATCTCTTATTTCTTGATCGCAGTTAACTGTGGTTAAGAATTTTAAAAAGATTGAATTTAAGTACTTATTTAAAAAAGAACTTTTACTTATTGAAATGTCTAACCACTTTTTTATTATTCTGCTTTTTCTGTGCTGTTTATAGGGTCGTATTGTCAACAGATTTTCGCAAGATATTTCAACACTGGATAATCCTTTAATGGTAACACTGAATAGTACACTGAATTGTGCACTGACTTGCTTTCTGACACTGTGTATTGCTTGTACACTTAATGCATTCATGATCATCCCAATTTGTTTGCTTACAATACTCTACCTCTTGATTCAGGTAAGAAAGAATTTCAATAAAACTATGTGAGACAGTCTAATTCATCTAGACATAGAACTAAATGCTTTTGTAGCTCAGTCGACAAAGCAATATGATAGCAATTGAAAAGATCACAGTTTTGAATTCTGTTGCCCTTCAGGCTCTGTTTTTTTTTACATCAGTCTTCATTGCTAATAAGCAGGGGAATCTATGTTATCTTTAATATTGGATGTGTGTGTGTGTGTGTGTTTGTATATACTCATTTGTATGTATGCGGATGCATGAATTTCATGTGTAATTAATTATCTACGCCCAAATAAATGATCTACTAAAAATTTGCATGTCGTCTATCTTTTGCATCCTCTTTTGGCATGAATTATATTTACATGATTCTCTAATGTATTTTTGGACGAAATACATGTCAAGGTCTCTATTTTTTTTTCTGTTTAATTTCACATAGTGAATGTATAATTTAGTATAGAGATATTTTTAGTTGCTTTTTCCTCTACTATATATATATATATATATATATATAACTTCATAATGTCGGTATTTGTTTCCATTTTGGTGTCTAGTGATATCATCAATCTTGAATCTAGGAGGAGAAAACAGGAATAAACAATGAATATACGTTCATTTTTCGTAAATATTCTTCTAGTGTACTGATCAGTTGGAATCCCAGTTCATTGTTGAATAACTTAGTTGTAGGCAAATGTAGTGTTCATTTGTGTAGTAGCTTCTTAAACAATAACTCAGTAGCCAGTTTCAACTTCAAAATAAACACATGAGTTCAGGGCAAAGCTAAGACAGTTAGTTATTTAACTGTCACTAATGAATTAGTTTGCGTCGGTGGCATAGCGGTTAGGACGCTCGCCGACCATGTACATGGTCCGGGGTTCGATCCCCGGCCAACGCACTCCTTTACCTCGCTAAGCCAGAAATAATGCTGGTGAAGAGGGAAGGTTGGGCATGAGGCTAGCAACCCCATCCTGTAAAATAAACACTGCTACATAAACTTCAAGCCACTAGCTTGAAGCCCTATGTTCCACTGGGGAAAGTGAAGGAAATAAAAAAAATGTTTTAGTTTAAATTATGGAAGCTGTTGTGTTTAACCATATGCAGTTTAATATTTTGGTTTGATCAAACTATTCACATCGGTTAGTCGTACTGACATATAGTGTAAGCAGTGTCACTGTTTAGCCGGTGTATGTGACTCTGAACACGTGAACACAGCATTACTGCTGTTATATCATCTGAGCTCAGTTTTCCTAATCATTTCCTTTTTCACCTTTTTTGAATGACATTTTTAGGACAGCTCTGAAAGATGTGCTTGAGATTGATGGTGTAGATCTTCTCTCTGAAGAATGCTTTTTTCGATCTTCAATATACAGATTACATCGTCTTAGAGTGTGATAACATACAGGATAACAAAATCTCACCTTACGAGCTGATGATTATTTTCTAAAAGTACAGTATGTACTTTCTTTCGTCTAAGCAAAGAGTACTGTTATGAAATCAGCTGCAGTCTGTCATGAGTGAACCATTTCCTCATATTATTGAAAACATAAACTTGGTATAATATAGGCATCGAAAGATGTGTCGCACAAAAATAAATCAGCGATATGGGAAAAGAAGAGAAACAAGACAGCTGAGGAAAAAACACATTATGAAATCAGAAAGCATGTGCATTAAGTGTACTAAGAGAAGTTTTCATTACTTCTTATTGCTTTTAGTGCAACAATAGAGGTGGTTTTCACTGAATTCTCCCCATTGATTTCTATTCTGAACTATATCTGATAAATTGTGGCAGGAATGCCATCTTAGTGGTCATTTACCAGTGGACAGACTGGAAGGAAAAAGCGGAGACACTATCAGCCTTCAATCTGTTGCCTTTTGAGGGTATGCGTAACGCCTATTTTTCGCTCCATGCCTCCCTAGGTGGGGATCCGAGAGTTATTATCAGATACTGCCCAGGATCCAAACCAATCTCCAGTGTTCGTTGATACTCTTTGAATAGTTAGTAACTGCCCTTGAGTCTATACGGGATTAAGATTTTGCTATAGAACTACCACAGGAATCCAGACAGTTGCTTCAAAGGGAGTTGTGTCTTTTTATACACCTGCGCTATCAACTGCTAGCAGCAATGTGATTTACCTGAGTGACAAAAAGATGTATGGTGATGCAACGGCTATGTCTGTGTCAAAAGTTGGAGGTGATTAGAAACAAGTTCTGTTCTCTGCGAACTTGCTACTGTCTAGTTAACAGTGACCATCAAGACTACTCTAGTTTAAACTTAAACATCTGATTTGAACATTTAACCCCCCACTAACGTTTCAGTGTTTTCCTATCATTTTGGTTCAAAACGTCATTCAAGTGGGTTGTAGGTCACATCTTTAATTGCTCTTTAGTGAAATATTTGTAGAGAAAATACGGAATCATAATCAAGCTTCTGAAATGTTCACAAGGTTCAGTCTCTAAGCTTAGGTTAAATGCTTCACACTATTTGTTAGAAACCACAATTACCATGTCTACACCACCTAAGCAGACACAATTTGAATGTTTATTTATGGAACTTCGTTCATCACGTTAACTTCTTCTTGGTCTTGTAAGTCAGTACTACCATTATGTACTAAGTGGCAATAAAGTCATAATACAATTCAAACGGTTACGTCACTGAAAGATGATTTCTATCATCTTTTACGCCAACGACGATGGATCCATATTATAGTGGTTCATTGTTCACTGTGAAATACTGAAACGACTTTTAATGCATTAATTTCTAATTATTTATAAATACACACAGTGCTATTTGGCTGATGGTGACTAGCAATGAAATCCAGACTTATCGTTGTGTCTCGTTTTGGACTCGCCAGCTGGATGTATCTGCATTCCCAGTGAGTGATGGTCAGCACCAACCAAAATAACTTCATGTTAATCCTAAGACATCGTTGAAGAATCCGTACTGCAAGCCACTATGTCAGTGGAGGTCGAGCATTTTCGGTCCAGCGTAACTGATCGGCGGAAAATGTAAATTAACGTAAAAACAAAAAAGCAAACAATGTTGTCTATGAAAAAGTATCAGATCGTCTCTTAAGTATTTTGTATTTCCACCCCATAGATCTTGTCCAATTTATAACTGTTCTACTATGCACCTCGTTTGTTTTCTCCTCCTCCATTTAGGCAATTGGTTCTCAACACTTTTTTCAGAAAATTATTTTTACTAAAATAATGTGCACTTCACGCCAAATATTTATTTAAAATATAAATTATGATTTTTTTAAATATTATTTTTTAACTAACTATAAAGAAAACTGGTAATTCAGTTTAATTGTTTGTAAGTTGATGTGTTTTTTTTTTAACTTCATCCAGCTTTGTTTTTTCACCGATGACCTTTTTTTATTGAATTGAAAATTTGTTATTCAGTTTATCCGGTCGTCTCACAAAAAATAATAACTAATTGTGTACATAACATTCGGTGATAAGCAGTGCATAACCATACCGTTAGGTTTATCAGTTCAAATGAATTAGCTAACGTTTTCCTGTTTTTCTCATTATTTCATCGTAGTTTTTATTTATTTATTTATTTTGACGAATCTTTACGGTGTCACTATGATTGTAGCAATTGTTCTGATATCGTTCCATGATAAAATATGTATGTGAAAATATAGAAGGCAGCTATTTCCGCAGTAAAGAGACAATAGGTTTTTAAAAAATAGCGGATAATTGCAAGGGAGGTTATCATGTATATTCAATGCAGTCATTTTCATAGCCTTTTACTGGTGAATATTTATGATTTGATTGAAAAGATCGTTTGGCGTGTTTCGTCTAGCAAGAGGTAGTAATAATGCTTCGAGAAACTGAATTATGAAATAGTACAAGATATGGCGAACAGTCTAGAAGAGTTATGAAGGTTGCCAGACGAGAAATATAAATATTTTTCTAGTAAGAAATAAAAACGCATAGTAACACTTGGAGGTCCAGGTGAGAGAAGTTGATGTATCATAGATGGAGTTAGAAGCTATAAGTTGGCAACGTTTTTACAGTGAGCAAATGTCTTGTCGCTGCTGTATTTAGCTCACAAAATTCCACATAAAAGATTTATTGGATGCTTTATAACAGATTTGTAGATCATTTTACGTTAAGGTATCAGTGACCGATTCAGGAGACATGTGGATGGCGCTTCGACAGAATATATATATATATATATATATATATATATATATATGATATTGTATACTACTAAGAAAGCCTAGTTCTTCTGCTAAGTAATCTCTTAATTTGTAAGATTACTCTAGTGCGTCAGGAATGACGACAGAACTGGGATATCTGATTCATTGTTGCTTGTCATAATCTCCTCCTGCTCTACTTAATGAAGCTTAGAGTTGAATGTAAATATCTGCCGACATATGAAATCGGCAATAAGTAGTCAAAAAGACTGCATATTATAGCTTGAGGCTACATTGAATGATCCAAGCAAATAACATGAAGGTCTGGTCGTCAAGAGTGGTTTCTATTTTGTCTTATCAGAGTGTTGAGCTAATGACCAGTTAGTCGTTAACACTTTGTTTTATGATACCTAGATTTCTTGATATATTAGTTAACACATCTTGAGTGTCGGTGAAACTTACCATTTTTAACCTTCATTTATGCATCCACATCTATTTTGAAAGTGTTAACTTTTTTATTATCGTCCATAACCTTTTTGTGTTTTGACCACCGGAATAATTTTATTAACCAACACTTTGTTGTTTCAAAGATGCTCACTTGTATCTTCCTCTATCTTTTTATATTTATTATTTATATTTATTTATATTTTCAGAATTTATATGTAACCAGTTCAAGGCAACTGAAGCGTCTAGAATCAATCAGTTTATCGCCGATATTTTCACACTTTTCTGAAACACTTTCTGGTGTTGACAGTATCCGGGCATATAAACTAACTGAGACGTATAAAACAATCAGTTCTACTCGACAAGACTTAAACAATTCAGCAGTTTATGCTTCAATTGTATCTCAGAGGTTAGTAAAACTATTCAGCTGTTCTGCATTTCATTAATACAATTCGGACCTTTTTAATTCCTGATTATAACTAACAAATTTCATTCACATCCAGTTACTGGTAGACACTTTGAACAGTCAGCCTGGTGTCATCTGGGCTACGTAGCTCTATTCATTGTCTTCATATTTTTGTCGTCGCGTATTTTTTGTTATGTAAATGAGAAATGAACGCTTCTTTAATCTTCATTTGTTCTAATTTCACACGCTTAATTTGAAATTAATGCGATTAAATTTCTAGACTAAATTAAAAATATGTTTAACTTTTGCCTATGGCTAAGGAATTTCGGTAAAACTTTCTTAAAACTCTGAACAACCTAAACTTTTAAGTTTTTGCATTTGTTGGGTTTTATTGATACCAGAATAGGTTTCACTTTGAAAGAGGTTCGAAAAAATAAAAGTGCTCTGAACAGTTACTTCCCCCTAGTTTGGGAGGGCTAGATTAAAAAGCAAGTAATATCACCCTTCAGTCAATACTTCATGATTGAATATCGCGTGATTTTTGACTTTTAGTAGTAAGTGATATAAAACTGGACATACCCAATAATACCAGTGAATTACACTCTGTTAATGAAATACACTAAGTTGCTACGGAGCTGTTTAATACGACTTTGCATTTTAAAGTAGGCCAGTGTAGATACCATGAACCACTAATTAAAATACTTCCAGTTAACATTACTATAAAATGTTGAGATGGGGGGGGATTATAAACGGATGCCTATAGTGCCAGTACTACCTATGCATTTACTCATTTCATACCATATTTGTACACGTAATATTTTATAGTTTAACAAGTGTAAATTGTCTTCATGGTTTCTCTTCAAGTAACATTCATAATAATAACAGCCATCATTAAAACTGTAATCATAACTATCGCCATGTTTTAGTAGTTGGTGCTGTCAGTCACCTCTTTTTTGACTACTAACAAGATGAATGTGACAACTTGTTATTATTTATAGAAAGTAGTTTAACAACTTACGAAAATCTATAAATTGAATTGTGTCGCTCTGTGTTATGAATACATTGTTATTTTCCAGTTGGTTCACTGAATTTAGGAAACATTCAGTAAAACAACGGTGGGATCTTTCTTTATTTGGTCGAGATATTCGACTTTCAGTCAATTAGTGATAAGTTTGGAAACTACCTCACTGACTACGCTTTTTGGGTGACACATTATTAATAATTCCCAGTCAATGAGTTAAGTCCATCGAGTAAAAATTGAATAATTCATGGTTTGTAAATTGTAACTACCCTTCATTGTCACTGGTGAATTCGTGGGTTCTGATCTCACGCCTTACTAATCCTTGTGAGGTGTTCGAGAGGTCCATTTTGAAAACTTTCTCGCAACTCGCACACAAATTTCTGACGACCCTTCAAAATTCGTATTCAGCTACTCTTCATCAGTTTCATCCGATTTGCTATTAGAAACTTGATCCATGAGGCCAAACTTCTGTGACATGCTCACGTATAGTTCGAAAATCTAATTACCCAAAACAAATGATTTAACTCCAATCTCCGACCAGGAGCTATAATAATAAAAATCAACCAACAGGGATTGCTGTCATTAGTATTTGAATAAAAACCCGGGAGCCTACAACCACTTGGCAAAGCAGCACAGAGAACAGTTAAATCAGATGAGATATAACCACGAACTATTGATAACCTGTCCAGATAAGGGGGCTGGTGTAGTCCTCATTCATCGAAAAGATTACATAGGCGGGAATGAATGACATATTGTTAGATAAAAATAAATTCTCTCAACTGACCAATGAAAGAAATAAAACAGGACAGATTGGAAACCATCTCACTGATGTTCTCAAAAGAATGAAAACCGAGCAGTTTATCAGTCATAAAATTTATGATAATATTTAACCAACAAGATCAATAATACCAAGACTGTATGGCGTATCAAAGATACACAAATCCGGTCTCACACTGCATCCAATTTCAGACATAGTAGGTTCTCTATACCACTCATTTGCGAAATGGCTATGATATTTTAGCACCTGTAAAATAACATATGTGCCCCCGTTCTCTTCATGACACCTTTAAGTTGGTTGACTGTATGCAAGATAACAACGTACAAAAGTATGCTGTCTTCTGAAATTGAGCCACTATCTACCAACGTAACACTAACGGAAACTGTCTATCATGTTTGTCAATATGCAGACGAAAACCAGATGAATATAGGATTACTAACAGCTTATCTAGAGGAACTACCACTGATATGTACCCCTAATGTGTAATTCACGTCCAACGACGTCATTTGCAGACAAAAATATGGGACTACAAGGGGATCTCCCCTGGGTCCATTGCTAGCAGACTGTTTCAGGGCTAACCTTGAGAATGATCCACTTAAGTCAACTGTTGGTAATTGTCAACTTCATGCTAAATATGTGGATGACATCTTTATTATCTACGATGATAGTCGTGGTTTTAATCAACTGTTACACATATTCAGTAGCTATCATACAGCAACAAAGTTTACTCTTGAAATAGAAAATGATTCTAGAATTCCCTTTCTTGATGTTAAACCTACAAGAAGAGCCGACAGAACTGTAAGAAACACACATGGAACGGCCAAGTGATATGATTCTACATCTGGATACCTATTAGTCGTAACCGAAACCTAATTACATCTGTTGCTACTTGAGTCCGATGCATCTGCAGCCCTAATGCTCTGGAAGGAGAATTACATTTTTCGAAGGAAATCTTCATTCAAAACTGATATCCACCAAGATTTACTGACAAGAACATCAAACCGAAAACTCAAAGACATGAGATATTATCAGTGCCATAAAAGGAACTTTGTATGAACCTTGACTTCAAAGGTGACCTTATCAGTGATACTCTAAAGAGGGGAATTTCGGCTTCTTTAACAAGAAGTTTACTCGCAGCAACGCTGAGAGTAGTCTTCTCCAGTCGCAGAAGCCCAGGAGACACGATCTCGCATCTCACGATGTTGGTGTTAAATAACTATCCTATAAAATTCATTAAGAAGATCAGAAAAGGTTGAAAGCGAAATAAAAATAATGGGGAAACTAATAATGACAACCAAAATAAATAAGAGAGAATATAAGGCATCGACAGTTCTACCATATAAGGAGGGGATATCTGAGACCCTAAGTAGGATTCTTAGTGAAGCAAACTACAAACTCACTCAGGGGCAAGCTCTGTAGGTTAAATGACCCTGTAGGTTGACCCACTAAGACAAAATGATATAATTTACAAACTACCTTGCAATGACTGTGAGGTCAACTGCATAGGTCAAACTAGTAGATCAGGAGTAGTGATCCCACGAAGATGAGTAATTTAGAAAACAACTCAGCTATAGCACCGCATGCATTAACACACAATAGAGTGGGAGAGGGTTAAAATTCTAAAAAGTAATCTAGGTAGGTGGAGAGACATTGATTACTGAATCCTGGTTCATCGAGTCTACACCCAGCACGTGAAATAAGAGTAACTCATCACTCATACAGGAAATATGGAAAATGCTACTACCAATCAAGTCAAGCGAAGTTTGAAAGTTATGTGAGTAACTTGATATGATTATGAACAATAAATTGTGCTAGGAACATAATCAGTAAATATAACCGTATAACACTGTGAGACTTTATCAAAATTAATTTTACGCACAATGGAATCAATGCACTTCTGTATTCTGTGCATGTTTGAAGCTTCAGCCAATCAAATGAAGAAATCGGAGCTCTGCATGCAATAGAAAATTATCCAACCACTTCTACTGTCGTCGTAACAATCTTGTTGATTTCTGATGTCTTGATATATTTTTGTTTGCTTGTTGAAATATGAATAATTTGGAAATCATTTGAGAATGCTTGGACAAAAACCGAAGAAGTAATGAATTCGTTTGTCTAAGGCTAGATTATCTGTCTGTCCGATGTCCTTGTGATAGCAGGAATCAATAGTCTTAGAATCTTAGAAACAACTCAATGTTGTTCATTACAATACCATTATATTTCTACTCTGTTAATGTTTGGATAGTGTTCTGATTCATGTCAGTTTGAACTTTTGCATTTTTGTGCAGAGGTCTAAGTCATATATTCAGTTATTACGTTTATGTAACTCCATGTCAAAATCTATAGGTTTGTGGTCTGATTGAAGTGACTGTCATCTATGTAAGGCAGGTTTTACTGTCTTTCGATCTATTTTGAAATAAAGGGACTAGAAAATATTTTCCTGCTTGCCGTTCTCCATAAAAATTAGTTAGTATCCACGATTGGTCATTTTAAGCAAACATATTTAATCTACAATTCTTGATTGCTGTTGTTGTTATTGCCTTCTTACCAACTGAGTTAAATGCAGATAAATTTATTGAAAATTTCTTTGAGTTTTTTGTTTACCATATTGGTGTTTGTTTGCTTTTCAACTGATAACTTGTTAAACAAATTCCTTTTGTTCGCCATTTCAAGCTGGTATTTATTTATTATTCTGATAAGGTGAAGTAACCGTGTCATATGTGCAAACGGCTGATGGCAACTTGAAAACATTACAGTATATATATATATATATATATATATATTATATATATATATTTTGAAGCCTTATGGCAGTAAACATAGGCGCTGTATTTTGAAAACTTCCATTTTCATCCGCTCTGATTTCCTCAAAACTTGGTTATTTTTGATGTTCTGTTTTGTTCACTTACAATAAAAATAAGTTGAAGAGTTGTACAGTTTTACACGATATTTCTTTTTACTTTCTACTTTGTGAATTGACGAAACTCAGGAATGTTTGTTATATTGTAGTTCTGAATTGCATATCAGTATTCTAAAATCTTTCATTATTATTTGTTTTTTGTATTCTTCCTGATGAAGTTTCACATCTTGCATTGAACACGTGTTTTACAGTGTTATAAAATTTTGTAATCATAATAAACTTCCTCGAAGGATCTCACAGCAGATATTTGACTCAATAGAGGTATTCCGAACTCTTTTGAAGGGGATGATTTTTGAATAACTGCTTAGTTAATAGTGTGAAAATCACGTCCGATAATCATTTAAGAACTATTTTTTTGTGTCTATATTTTCTACTACTGCTAACATATTTTGTCACAAACACTTACTGAAAAGACTGTTTTTACTTAACCTTGAGCCTTCATTGAAGGCTTTTAACGACCCAAATCAATTTGCTTATAAACATACTAGGTGTAGTTTAGATGCCACTGACGTCTTATATCATAATATTGTCTTTAGCTTAAACAGAGGTACCGAATATTTCACTGTGCCTTCCTAGATTACACGTCTGCCTTTGACTCTGTACCTAGGCCTCTTTTGTTAAACAAACTTGCTGCGTCACAGTCACAGTGCTAGATAACCTAGTGGTTGCATTCCTATTTTTCTGACAGGAAGCAGTACACTGTTTACAATGGGAGGTCCTCCACTGCTTCACTTACTCCAGCTTGTGTTTTTCAGGGAGCTGTTCTTTATCCTTTTCTGTTTTCCTTCTTCTTACATGACTTGCTTCATTCTGACGGAGCCAATTTCGTTAAGTACTTCGATCATGTGACTGTTCCTATGCCCATTACTTCTCAGTCAGACTGTTCCAAAATGAATAACTTTTTATTAGAAATTGGTCAGCGCTCCTCATCAAATGGTCTTAAGCTTAATCCCCCCAAATGACAGGTGATTAGTTTCACTTTCAGACGTAAGCGCAACTTACATGAACTGGTTAGTTCGCATAAACCAACTATCATAGATGGCACAGAGGTTGAAACTAAATCGAATATTAAATACCTTGAACTGTGTATTTCCTTTAATCTTTCCTGGTTTTCCGACATCATGCTAGTTTCCAGAAAGATATTTTGTTTGACGTTCTGAATAAGGAAGTTAAGGCAATCTGATATCATTCCGTCTCTACTGTTACCGTTTGTTAATTCTCGTATTCTACCTATACTTCATTACTGTTCCCCCTTAATCTTTCCCGGGATACTTAAGTAAAACTTTGTCGCACTGCGAAGGGCACTAAAAACTGTCAGTGGGGTGTTGCTAAACCAACTCGTTAATACTATTGTATATAGACACTTAGATTCCTGTAAGAAATTAGCAAATATTATCTTGTCAGACTCTGAACATCCTGTACATATACAACTCTCTCTTTGCATCACATCGGTTAGAACTACAAGCAACTATAGAAGACTGTACGCTCTGACGGTTAAGTACAAAACTCCATGATACCTTATTTAGCACACATTTTATGTGATGAGATAATTGTAAGAAAGGAAATTACAAACTTTCTGAGGAACTCTAAGTAAGTGGCATTGTTTTTTTATATATGCCCAAACCAAGTTCACTTTTAACAATTTGAAAAAATTTGGGCATTGGGTATATGATATTCAACTCGTAAAATATATGATATTCATTATAATAAAGGTTTTCTTGTATTTCCCAATGAATGAAAAACAAAACGATATTGTTTTTACTGACATTTCGCTATTTAATGCTAATAGCTTTATTAAAGTATTATTCAACCGGAATTTACAAAATCTCAGTATATATGTAACAAAGAGTTAAGAGGTGAGAAAACAGACTTAGGTCAAGTTAAAAGGACATACAACAGATGCTCTACGGTGTTCATTTCTTCTGATTTTGATTTCTCGAGATGTTTGTGCACCGAGAAATCCGGTCGAACTAGAAAGGCTTGAAAGAAAAATCATCAGCCTTAGGTCTACACGCTATAGAATCAAGCCACAAAATTGATTTGACAATATTGAATTAAATCCAGAAAAAGCACTTCAGAAATCACAAAGAACGTCTAATATCAGAAGTACTTCATATCAAATGTAATCCAAATTGTCTGAACAGGAATGATGGACTAAAACAGAATCTGACCTGGTTACAACACCCCCCTCCCCCATGAAGTGACAAAATCAACATGAATGTGATAAGCAATTTCATTATGTAAACACACGCTGTTTTTACAATTTTGCGCGATTATCAAATCCAACAATCTACACCTGATTTTTGTTATCGTTACCAATTAGCCAATTTGACAACGAAAAATGACCCCATACTGAGGAACGATGATCAAGTTTGTTTTGATACCATAACAGATGTACTATTGCCTTTGTTATTTGGTTTAGCGATCTTCATTGTTATTTTGACTTTCAATATGTCCTTTTAACTTGACCTAAGTCTATTGTCTCATCTCCTAACTCTTTGTTACACATATGCTGAGATTTTGTAAATTCCGGTTGAATAATACTTTGATAAAGCTATTAGCATTAAATAGCGAAATGTCAGTAAAAAAAATATCTTTTTATTTTTCATTTATTGGCATTGTTTTTTGTTCTCATTATTACATTATCGGTAATATTTTCATTTGATTTAATTTTATATTCACTTCTTATTGAACAATATTATTAATGTAAATACTCTGTTCTATTTATTGCCCCTGTAATGAGAAAATTACATGCAGTATTGTATTACATGCCGAATATTCCATATTTGTATCAAAAGTACTGTTTGGAATAAAGCTGTTTTTATTATTATTATTATTATTAACAATGATGCATAAATGGTTTCTGACTATTGATGTACATGAAAGCTTATAGTCTTGTGTGCTTTAGAAGTAACGGAAACTAATTATTTCGTGGGACGTAACGTTGTTATTAAATCCCCTTCTCAATATTCAATGAACCCAGTTATCCTCTTTTTACTATGACTCTGATAAACCTGTTATTTATATACAGAAAGCAAGAACTTCTTAATTCAGTCTGTTCCATCAGATTTTGGTGTAATATAATCTCTGACGAATGAGCAAATTCTCAAAAGCTTTATCTTCTATATGAGATTCTGTGAATCTCGAATCACTGGTATAATCCAAGGAATCATAGAAAATGACGAGTTCTAATTTAGATATGATCTGAGAGGAATTACTGCTGATAATGAAGGATGGTGACGTTTTAATCTGAATCAGAAGAATTTAAAAATAATGAAACCTTAAACAGATATCATTAGTGGACTTATGTCCTCATTCTAGTTTATGAACTCTTACTAAATATATGAATTACAATGGACAGTAACAATCAGTTTTCTTGTGTGTGTGTGTGTTAAAGTTTGACAGTGAGAGGAAATACTAAAGGGACACGAGTGCATTTGCTTTGTATAGCAGAGGCTTTGGCAATGCATAACATAAAGCTAGAACTTTGTGTACAAAAACTCTTACTAAAGTTTGCTCAAATTCTTACTAACAGTTGGATCAGTGCGAAAAATTTCTAAACTGGCAGACTTTTCTTTTTCTCCAGTTGATTTTAATCTGTTGTAAGAACTTTCTTCAAATCAGACGGTTGTTTATCAAACACCCGACTGGTATTAGATCATGAAAATGTGTTTTTCCTCATTACCACTACTAAATTTGATTTTCATTAATTTATTATAGATAATGCAATATATTATTACTATTACTGTCTCTTCTTGGAGTGGACAAGCAGTTCATTTAGTCTGTATCCTTCTTTCACTTATTTAATCATCCTTATTACTTTTCTTTCCTTTTGTTTTTCGACAGATGGCTAGCAGTTTTATTAGAACTTGTTGGAAATTTAGTTATCTTAGCTGTAGCTATACTATCAGTTTCTGCTCAAGGCTATCTATCAGCTGGTTTCTCCGGTTTGGTAATCACTTACGCGTTAAGTTTAAATCAAACTCTAAATTGGCTTGTACGTATGTTTTCAGAATTGGAGACAAATATTGTCTGTGTTGAACGAATACACGAGTATTCTTCTATAGAACAAGAGGTAAGTGAGAAAATTATGTAACCTGTGTTTTTTTGCATATGCTCTTCTTATATATATTCTGCTATTGTAAACGAAGACAACTGCCCAGTTGTAGCTACATGAAAGTCCCCTATTTGGTCTAAAACACTGATCACGACAAAGTATCTTTTTTTAAATAGCACAAATGTTTTAGTGGACTAACAGAATTAATCCATACAGATGAAGTCCGTATAAGGCAAGGCATTTTACACTGTTATGTGTTAAACACTGCTCACTCCTGTTTTCCTCTTTTTAGAAGTATATTATGTAACGGACGTTTAATCCAGTAATATTAATGGTTGTGGCATAGTGACCTAGTATCAATAATCTGTTTTTAAGTCGTATTAACATTTTTCTACCGAAACAAAAAATTGCTTTGCAGAATATGAAAGGTCTTTTCTCACCTTAACATTTAAAGGTCGTCTAGGCGATAAAACAACCTTTGTCCCTTACAGTAGACAAATCACTGACCAATCAAACAATCAACATGAAAATGGGTAATTCATTATCTGTAGTATCGTTATTATTGTGGATATTTTCCAAAAATATTTCTAGCCAATCATAATTATTTCACCTTCTTTACTTTGAACTCATTCTAACCTTGACACAGAAAATCTGAATATGTGGTCACTCCCTAAGCTTGAATAAAATTCTATCCTTCCTCCTTTTTTCTTTGGCTTTGGAATTTAGTATGCTAAATTGCAAAGTGAATGCAATGTACCTGAGAGAAAAACGAGAACACAGATGCACTTCATATGTTTGAGATGAATTTATTACTTGTCTAGTTTGTAATGCTCTCTGTCTAAAACGAATTGAAAAAAAGTAAAAATTCACTTTTAAGAATAAAGACAAATGAAATAAACTTGACAGAAGCTCTCAGGATAAGAGTTCTTCTCTAGTTGTAAGTCGAGAATGCATCCAAGTGGCTGTTTAGTTATCTTAGTCATATAACTCTCAACACTAATATGTTTTGTAACACGTACATGGACAGTGGGCCTGCAGATTTTCTGCTTCGTTCTAACCAATAATTAATATTTACCATACTGGTATCATACTTCTCTTCAACTATGTGAGGATGTTCTAATTTTAATTCTAACTTTGGTTAGCTCAGTTCGTTATTGCAATCCTATAGTTTAATTTGAAGATAGTTTTGAAGTCTGTTTGCCTAGTCATATGTGATGTATATGCCTTCAGAAAATGGTTAGAATTTCGTTTTATTCTACTGACATTGAATGGAACGTATTCTAATAGCAGTTTCACAGACTGAACAATAGAATGAGATAAACATGCATCGAATTAATTAAAGTGAACGTAGATTTTATCACTGATTCATGGAATTCAACCAAAAATGCAAAAAGAATTTCATACTCTAAAGCAATGCTTACCTAGTGCTTTATACAGAAATCAATTTAGAACCGTCCAGTTATAAAGCATGTATATTACTATTCAGCATAGTCAAGTACGCCGGGAATCTTTTACTAATAAGGGAATCTGCAAGATGTTGTAGAGAAGAATTTGGTCTATCTATGGGAATGTTGCCCATAGTGTAGCGGTCGGCTTTTACTTGGAAGGATTAGTGTTAAAGAGCTTAGTGTACAACTGCTCGAAGCAAGTCACACACATACGATGGTAATTGCATTCAGTTTAACCACTACCCAATCAACGTTTTTGGTAGAAGCATTTATTCCAGCCATTGTAGTTTGTTGGTTGAGTGCAAGTCTGATTATCACATCAAGTAGGCAGCTATCGTTTTGGTTATGTGGTGGATTATTACATCTTTATAAGAATTCTAACATCTTAGATTGAACTTCTTAAATATATACTCAAGATATCATGGTAGGCAACTATTTTTTTGGTTTATGATTGCACGTTGCTTGTGCACGAACCTTAAACTGGTGAAGTTTGTTAAGATTGAGAAGGCACTAAGTAATCAACCGAGTTGTCTGTTTCACTGATGACACATCTACACAGTGGCAGATCTTAGGAGCGTGAATTCGAATAGGTCTACTATTGCAGCTCACGGTCTTTACATTTTAGTCTATATAATGGATTACTTGGCTAGGCTTAAAAGCCATTAAATCCAACATTTCTTATCTTTACTATGAAAAAGGGTTAGATAATCAATTATTCTTCAAGATTGCTCCAAATAGGACGTCAGCAATTAGTCTCAGACAGTTCACTTTTCTATATGTGGTTTTTATTATTGAATAGATGCCTTGGTGCTCAATATAAACATCATATTAGATCACATGGAAAGTTACAAAAAACAAACAGGAATATATAGATATTACGGAAGCGAGGTATGAGACGAGTGTTTCTTAAAGGCGTTTGAACTTAATCGTCTTCGGCTTGGTTCAGTTCATTAAGAGCAGTCAGCCACCATTTAGCTCAAGTGCTGTCTTCAGGTTTATCTATCTTTAATCTTTTTCCAGTCTACCGCAATTCGCTTAACACTAGTGTTTGAGAACAACTTTGGCTTGTCATGAGGTAGACACTTTCTAACCTCGTCAGTCTGTAAGACTCGCAACCGGATTGACGAACTGTTCTGTTTAATTCCAACACTGCTTCTTCGGCTGAGGTGTGATCTATGATCTATGACTTAAAAAGACCCCATGTCTTCCACTTTAAGTAATAATGTCTCACAACAGTAGATTATGACGGTTACTTTTTACTCATTATACTTGTTCTTTGATCGACGTAAGTGTTGACATGGATCCTTTTATATTCCTCTTGAGATTTTCTCACTAGCCACTTCATTTGAGCTGATTCCGCTGCCTATGTGATTGAAGTCGTTAGGGCAATTACTTCCTATCCGTGTTAATATATGTGTAAAACTTGGGCACTATGGTAGTAAGTAATTCCATATTAGTTTGTTTATTAGATATATCACACAGTGAAACAGTATTATTTACTGGATGACGTTTCGAACAAAACTTAGTGTTCATAATCATATCAATTGTAATCACACGACTTTGAAACTTGAGTTCTATAGTTTTCTTTGTTCTCTCCTATTTGTCGTATGGGTAGTAGAATTTTCCAGATATCGGGGACAGGCGATGAATCATTCCTATTACATGTATTTGTAGTTGATTCGGTCAACAAAGCTTCTGTTATCAATCTCTTCCTATACCCTGTGACGTTAGATTTTAAAACTGTCATCCTATCCCATCCTATTGTATGGGATGTATGTTTCACTGTGTGATGTATCTAATAAACAAACTAATATGGAATTCCTATCCGTGTGTTGATGCATTCTTATTGCATAATCTTACATCTCAAAAAGGTGAAATTCCGTCGAACATACGAATATTTTTGTTTATATGTTCTGAAAACTTCGATTTTTCTCTGGAACTTTACAAGACCTTACTGTTTATCAATTGCAAATAAATCCGCTCTATTGCAAAGGTAGGTAGAGTTATTCTCATCAGCACATCTGTAAAGAAATCATTCAAGGATCACTACCGTTGATATTCTTGGCTAGGATTACTGGTTACCATCAATTTGCACTACAGCTTTCCCTAACTCTTACACCACTGAGTTAGGTCGAGTATAAAAACATTGATATACTATGTGAACAGGACAAACAACTTCAATTTCTCTATACCTACATCTCGCCACTTTTTCATTTCATTTTTTTTCTGATCATTTTATATTAGGCACCATGGGAATTGGATTGTAAATATTTACCAGCTAACTGGCCTGAAGGTAGAATTGAGTTCGTCAATTATTGTACAAGATATAGGCCCGAGTTAGATTACGCCCTACAATCAATTAGTTTCACGGTTGAAAAAGGCGAAAAAGTAAGTTGTTTCTCCTACTGATCATTCATGGTCCTTGATTTGGCCGATAGTTGTTCATATGTTGGATCACACTGAATTCTAGGTACAGACTACCGATGTCTATCAATAATTAAACTAATGTAGAAGTAATGGGTCCTGTACTAACCTCATAACTAAATAATAACAATTTATTCTGAGTCCCTAGTCTTTTGTGAAAGTGTAATGCTATGTGGTCAATTATCAAGCATCACCAGAACTGCTGTATTCTAAGTATTCATTGTTGGGGGAAATGAGTCTGCGAACCCTCCCCTCCAGTTTGATCGTTCCTCATATTCTTCTGCATTTCGTTATTGATAACAAAAAGCTAAAAACACTGTTATTTGCCATTTAATTAACCATTCAACACTGAATCGGGAAATCTGAACAAGGAATTATCGAGTTGCCGTATACGAAATATGCACGGTTTTAATTGTGAAGCGTTTAGTTATCCCTTTTAGCTATTGGCTTTAGCATATGTAAGCAGTTGAGCATTATATTTCTGGTGTGCAGTCTGCATAATGTTTCACAGTGTTTTGATACACATGCATCTATAATAACAACTTTTATCCTTTTTGAGGACTAGTAATAATTAGTCACCATTTCATAAATTAATTTGTATTCTTTTCAAGTTACTATTAAAAGTATATATTTTCAAGATTTGCTACTTTCCACTTACATTACTTCTAGTTGGGAATCGTTGGTCGCACAGGTTCTGGAAAGTCTTCACTTGTACTTGGACTGTTTCGTATGCTTGAAGCAGCTGAAGGTGAAATTCGTATCGATGGTTTTGACATTTCTAAACTGGGTTTACATGATCTGAGAAATCGATTAACACTGATACCTCAAGTAAGCAAGTGATTGATATCTCTGAATAAAGAGTGTAATACATCATTTACAGAAATATGGCTTTTATTAACTCTCTCTCTCTCTTCTAATGTTTAGTGTTTCCCATTGTTAAATTTTTTAAGGAAAGAATCCTAAATTTCAGTTAAAATTTGCAAAGATTTCTATTGACAAAAAGATAAGTGCTTTAGAGTGGTGATAGTATTTGTTGCCATCACTGAATGTGCCTATCATAGTTTGTAAACCTTACACGTTTTATTCTGAAACTCATCAACAGGATACAAAGGCAGCTAGTATTTGTTACCTCCAACTTTGAGATCACTTTTCAGTGTACTGTCAAGTACATATGATGCTGTTTTGGGATAAACTGCCATTAAAATCTTGGTTGGTAATTCGAACTAGTATGACTAATTGTTGTGGAGTAAATAGAAGGAGATGATACCATGAGGGTTTGTTTCACTGGGAAAGTTTTATTTAATTACAAAAATTAAATGTTTCTTTCATATGTTTACCCCTCTCCGATTAACCAGATGCGTTGATGCTTTGTTTACATTGGATCAATTTTCCTGTCGTTTTTTTATTTTGACAGCAAGTTTAACTCATCTGCATTGTATAGTGTGAATACACAACTGAGCTTGTTCTTATATACCTTAATTTTTCCTTGGTTGTTGTTGTTGTTGTTTTTGTCAATGAGATAGGTGACCTTGAGATATTTATCTCTATAATTCTTCGTCATACTGACCAAAAAAAAATTAGAATAAGGACGGGAAGAACTAGCAGATAAAATACCTTATTTTTGCATAGAACTTTTTCGACCGAACAGCTTCCAACATTAATTATCAATGCATGATTGCATGATGCCTAATAAATTAGGGGAAAATGTAACCCTGCAGGTCAAGCATATATGTTTCTTTTGAGTTCACATGGTTGAAAGCTGAAAGTTAGGTTATCATGGATATTAGTGAAAACTATTCAAATATCAGGTGTGCATGAACTGATTTCTTTTTGCAAACTCAGGAAATAAGATAGATAGGTCATTGATTTTTGTGTAACTCTGCATATTTACTGTCTCTTTTATTGCGTCTTATATATATATATATACTCATTGGTATAAGTGTTAGGTGAAGTAGCAGTTAACTTTGTCAATTTGTAGTTTGATTATTTGTGTTCTATCCAAGTTGGCAGAAGAAGCATCAAAGATAGGACTTCAGGTGAACATAGAGAAAATAGAGGTGATGAAGATTCCTGGGCAACACCACCAACAGCAACAACAACAACAGACAACAATCAGCATAAATGGAAGGAACCTGAAAGAAACAACCTCTTTTACCCACCGACCTGGGAAGCATCGTTTCAACTACAGGCGGAACTGACGAGGATATCAAAGCAAGAATCGGAAAAGCAAGACAAACTTTCACTACTCTCAAGTCTGTGTGGAGGTCAACAACACTCAGCATCAAAAATAAGATCCGGATTTTCAACTCCAATGTGAAATCAGTGCTACTATACGGATCAGAGACTTGGCCAGCGCGTCATAAAGAGCATCTCAAACAAACTACAGACCCTCATTAACAGATATCTTCACTCAATACTGAAGATCAGATGGCTGAACAGAAAAGATCAGCAACAGAGATCTCTGGCAGTGAGCGAACCAATCGAGCAGGAACCGATTGTGAAACAAATAGGTAGGAAGAAATGGAGGTAGGTGGATTGGCCATACTCTGAGGAAACCATCAAGTGACATCACTAGACAAGCCATTGCTCGAGTGGAACTCGAAAGGGAAGCGGCGAGTTGGTTGTCAGTGCAAGGGTGTCTTGGAGGAGGTCATGCGAAGACGAGATGAAAGCATGTGGGCAGACTTGGAGCCAGGTGAAGACTCTAGCAGAGAACCGAACGCAATGGAGACGCACGGCTGAAGCCCTATGTCCATCTAGGAATTAAAGGAAACAATATTAATATAATAATAATAATAATCCATATCCTGACTGAATTCTTTAAATGAAGCTAGTGCTCTGCTTGAGTTTGCCTAATTTAACTAGCGCTATTTGTCATAAATGATCGTGTTCAGCAGCAATATATATTAGGTACGATATTATTATTATATACCTGGCTTTTTCAAACAAACAAATGAAATGTAGCTTTTGTCACGAACCAATATCATCTCAAAAAAGTCAAGGAAAATATTTAGAATGGAATGAGTCAAACAACCTTAAAAATGATACACGATAAACTATGTTGTTTCACTGTTTAGAGTTACTACAAGAAATGGTGACTATCAGATTTTGCCGTAGAAGAATTGTCGGATGAATTAAATTCACTTAGTGTGCCTGAAGTCTTTCACACACCCACGATAAGTTCAAAATTAGTGGGTAGTTTGATAGTCTAAGATGTCTTTATCAAATGTACAATCGACACAGAATAAGTCTTTCCATATCTCTGCATTAAAAAAAATAAAATGGAAATTCTGATGATCTAATCCAACTAACAAAGAGAACAAGTATAAGTTATTGATAGGATGACAAGTCATGCTGTAATCTCGATTAGTAAAACCAAAACAAATTCGACATAATGATGACGAATAGGTGTGATTAGAGTTCAGGTTGAGGATGGCTAAAATATAGTAGATATAGGATGATGCTCAAAAGTATGTCCTAAAAACCAGGATCAGTATGTAGTGTACTGAAAAAGTTCACTATGGTTTACAAACAACAGTGGAAGGCCTTGTTGATTAACTAGTGTGGTGGTAAACATGATGATAACGGAGCATTACCAGTGATGATTGTAGTGAAATTTCGACCCGGTCAGCAACTGTATTTTCTAATCCATTCGGTACCTGTACGGAGACGACTCTTCGGATTCCTCCTCTAATCAGGATTTTTAACTCCCCTTCAGTAATTATCCATACCACAAATTTAGAAATACTGAAAGGAGTAATTTTTAAACATAATATGCAAAGCAATAAGAAGTTAGAACAAGTAACAGTTGATAAGGCTGCAGAACAATAAAAAATTATCAGAGTAATGCAAGTTTATCCACATAATCTTTCGGTACGTATTAACTAGGTTTTTGCTGATACACTACTATTGCTTCTATATGAATAACTTAGCAATTTACCAAGTTACCTATCTATCACATGAAAAAGTGTGATTGAATTTATGATGTGCCTGTCAGTAGCATTACTAGTTATTTGGAGTATGCACCATTTCACTGTGGATATTCTGTTTGACTGTTCATTCTTCAATGGCATATGTCGCTTCCGACTCAACTGTTTCACTGCATACGTGCAAACCTATTCTTATTAAGAGTATGTTTGTATAAGTGCCATCCCCATGTTCATTGCAAAAGTAATAAACTTTGTTATATTATTTATCAATATATCATATAAGTACCACTTCATTGTTATTTTACGGCAACCGCATACATCTCTTATTATTTGAAGGTTTTCGTAGTCATTCTTCCTGTGATCGTAGTGGTTAGTTCGAATGTTGTTCTACTTTTTCCTTCTATTTCTCTAGGATCCTGTTCTCTTCTCAGGTACACTGCGTTTTAATTTAGATCCATTCAGTCATTATTCAGATGACGATATTTGGAAGGCATTAGAATTAGCCAACCTGAAGCCATTTATAAAAGAAGCTAATAATGGTTATCTTGGCTTAGATATGATAATTTCAGAAGGTGGATCGAACATAAGGTAATTCTCTTCTTTTTTTTTAAATTATGCTGTCTATGAAACTTCAATATTTTATTCCAAAATTCCTTACTACTTTACCAGTGTAACTTTGTACCAAAGGTGTTTTATATCGAAAGAAGGGAAATGCTCTCAATGAAAATTTTACTAGACTAGAAAAGTGATACTATATAATTTTTGAACAGTTATAATAACTTAAATCTCTTTCAAGGATAACATAAGTCACTGTGAAAGCGTAAATCACCAGCTGCTGAATAGCATGTTGATTGGTAGCCATTGTTTTTGTATAAGGCTTGTGATTCCTTATTTCACTCGACAAGACGTCAGTGGTATTCATCTGTGAAATAGTTTGCCTGTTATTATGAATTGAGCCATTTAGATTATAAAATCTTGCTGTTAATCAGTAGCAATTTTTGTAAGCAGTTATTTTTATCACAGTATACGTGTACAAATATTCTGTCAGACTGTTTCTCTCCTTCTTTTTTCCACATGTGTTGTCATTAACATTCATTATTACACTGAAGTTATTCCCACTGACAAATTTCACGTATGAATTAATCAAGCAAACTTTCACTCCCTAAATTATGTCATTTATAAGAGTGTTTAGCTTTCTTTCTGTCACTCAACTTTTATGCTTTACTACATATGCTTGACGTGGTGTAATTGTTAAAGATGGATAGTGTGAAATTTCCATATTTTCTGTTTAATTATCAGCGTTTACATATTATTACGGAAGGTTGACGAAGTAAATCAATAACCGTACAGTTTATTACCAATGTGACAAAAATTCATAACTTCTGATCAGATCAAACATTTGAAAGAGTTAAGAATATTTTAGTACAACTATATATTAGCTTCTAAAGGACCGACAGTGGATATAATCCAGGAAATCGATATGTATCTTCGCATAGGTGTTTTGGATTTTAACTTGTTCCGATAACAATCTCTAGATTTCTCATATATCTGTGTGATGAGGTTTAATTGCTTTTTTTAATGACTTGTGGTGCATTCTACTAAGGGTGTACAGCCTGTTTTTATTTACACAATGTGTAACTGGTAAAATTATGATTGTGTTTGGGTCAAAAGCGTGATAAATTCCCTCTATACAAATTGGATTTCATTGCTTTCCGTTCGTTTGGTTGTTTGTTTGTTGCAAAGAGAGAACTGGTAGACAAAGCACTATAAATTATTCATACTGGATTTGGTGATTGTTTAAAATAGTCCATGAGATATCTGAAATCGGTTCGCTTTTTAAATATCAGGTTAATAACTGGCCTGAAACTGTTTATTTGAATTTATGAGAGATAATCATCAAAACTGCTAGTCACAAATGTTGCGTGATCTGATTCTCAATCAACTTCTAGTGTTATAAAAAACATTTTAATAGCGCTTTAACCTAAAGTAAAGTCATAATTGGGAATTAGTAAAAGAATTGTTAGTTTAATCTGTACCAGTGCGTTCAGTTTTAACACACTAAAAATATCCTTAAAATCACTTAATGGTATTTGTATATAATCTGGGTCTTTTAGCCTTGGTCAGCGACAGTTAGTCTGTCTTGCAAGAGCTCTACTTCGGCATACATCAATTCTTGTGCTGGATGAAGCTACAGCTGCTGTGGACATGTTGACAGACAGTTTAATTCAAGAGACAATACGTAAAGAATTTTCATCATGCACTGTGTTGACTATCGCACATCGATTGAACACTGTCCTTGATTATGACCGGTAGGTCTGTGTTTTTGTTTTTTTCTTGTCAAAGTTATCCCTTTTCAAATACACTGCTTAAAATGTTTACAGATGGAGTGAATAAGCTCATAATCAGTAAAACTGATATTTCTAGTCGGCGTTTACTGAGCTTCTCTATCGAATCAACTAACGTCGCGATTGTCTCTCCTGTCTTTTGCTAACTTTCAAGGCAAATTTCTTACAATATGTCATTTATTTGCAATTTTACAGGCAGAATTTGTCCTTTACATAATAATGATAATTGTTACTGTTATTATTGTCCATGCTTTGTCCTAAAAAAATGATAGTGATATCATTTACAAGGATGTTAGTGTCACACTGTCCCAGCCAAATTGGAACTAGATTCATTGTCAGTGAGCGAAATTCTCAAAGCTGTTGATTTCAACAGCTCTTATTCATTCACATGTATGGCTTCTTATTGATTACTTCATTTGATCAAGCAGATAGGCCACTTGTTACGAACTCACTGAGGGTTATATAGAGTTACTTTTTAGTTTTGCTAAAATACTTCAAGGAAATATAAAAAGTTCAAGGTATACTGGCAGTACTTTTACTGGGGGAAACATTGTTGATACTGACTTATGTTTTGGAGCCAACATATGGTAGCACAGTGATAATATTGTAGAATGCCATTTTGTGGTTAGCTTCTTCTTGGGTAGTAAAAGCAGAGATTCGAAATTCGGAAGAATCAGCTGATTTTCTCCTTATTCTGACAACATAAGAGATTTGGTATTGAACAGCTGTGACTAACTAGAATTTAAGAGCATTTTCATGATTATAGTTTTTAATACTTAACTGTTACTGACCTTGTTAAGCGGCAAAAGTTATGGGAATAGGAGGCTTCTTGACTCATTAAACAGTGGTTTTTGTGTCTGCTACATGAACGTATTCATTTGTTTAGCTAAACCGATTGGTTTGCATAGATAACCTAACCCTAATGGAGTACTATCATATTGCAAAAAGTGTGTGTTTGACCTCTTACTAAAGCTGAATATACGGCTGTCAACAATTAGCTGTCTTTCTATTTGTTAGTTTCTGCATACTACAGTCTGTGATTACTCAACCTAATGAATAAAATATCATCTTAGAGCTTTGCACAGAAATGGCACTTTTAATTGCAATATCTTGTTCGTATTAGATGATTGGAGGCAATCAGCAGGAAGCCTTGAACCTAGGTTTCGTGCTGGTTGGCACTCATCAGCAAGGCGTATCTGCAACCTTGAAGGAACTGATGTCCCTTGTGAGATTCGAACCCGCGTCACCCAGTGCTGCAGTCAGAGACGCTACCACTGAGCTATTCAGGCTCGCGACTTACCTCCTGTAGGACTCTATGGGATATTTTTGATTGCACACTAGTCAGTAATTAGTGTAATGTGTCTAGTCCTATCTTCGGTGCAGACTGAATTCTATCAGTGCACCGTAATGGCGAGCCACCTAGCATGGTGGCCACATTGCAAACATGACTGATAGAATTCAGTCTGCACCGAAGATAGGACTAGACACATTACACTAGTTACTGACTAGTGTTCAACCAAAAATATCTTGTTCATATGACTGTAACTGTATTTTACCAGTTATACTCTGTGTTCTGTTTCCTTGTACTGAAAATCATTTTGTCTCTAGGCCTTTGATATCCTGATTTTTACTTTGTCTTTTTTCAGAGTCCTTGTTCTTGAAGATGGTCAAGTTAAAGAACTTGACAGCCCAAAAGTTTTACTACAGAATAAAAACTCAAAATTCTATGCCTTAGCCAAAGATGCACATATTGTGGAATGATTGCCTCGATCTTCGTCTTAATAAGAATTATGATTCAGATAACAGAAGTGATCATTTACTAAAGAGAAGAACAGCTATTTATAAAACTTTGATTCTATTCAACATTCCTTTCGTCTTTAACAAATATTTTACAGGATAAATTAAAATGTGAAATTTTAGAGAGAAAAAAAAACAGTCACGTTTCTAATCATGTAGGGTTGATCATTGTATGCATTATCTATTCTGCTTCAGTTTTATTTCCCATTTGCGCCGTTTCAATCAAACAGACATGTAGGAGTGGAAAACAGATAAATGATAATGAAAGATTCCTATTCTCAATTTTTACGCCTCGTAGATTGCAAATATATATCCATGCATGTTTTTTATCCTTTTTAATTGCTAACGTACACACACACCAATGAAATTTTTCCATACCCTTTCTCCATTTGTAATTATTGTGTCCACTTTAATTCCACGTTCGTTCTTGTATGATTCGTTGTTGTCGTTGTTTTTTTTCACCTGTGTTATAAAATCGTTAAATGAATTGTTCTCACTTTGCTACTACTCGCGATACTGTACCGGTATTCAAAATCGGTTAGTTGTAATAATTATTTCACCGTCTTCCTATTTCCTATGTGATGGGCTTCGCAGTGTCCTTCAATCTTTCAAACATGATCATCAGTTTAAGTGATGATTATTTTCAGTTTAATGTAGTTTTCGGACCGATTAGTGTAACTGCTGAAGAAACTGTTGAAAAATAGTTTGCAGCTGATTGGGTGGTATGATGCAAATTTTACCTGCAGTGGATGATTGTTGAAACTTTCTCCTTAGTAATTTGACACTAAAAGGATTAAATAAGGTTTTGGCAGGCACTGACCATATTTCATTCGAAATCTAAAAGGAACGTTTGAAGTACCTCCAATATCATACTTTCCTATTGGAATGCTTCTTTTAAATATATCAACTAAGGCTTTCCCGTTTGACCATTTAATTATGGATGATATGGTGAACATGTAAAATGCTGAATGCTATTGTTTAGGCGGCATAGTTCAAAATGGCTTGTTGTGGATTGCGTTCTACATTCTGTCATAACAACATCCAGGTATTCTCCTAGTTTCCAAATTAAGCCGTTGTGAAAACATCTTCCATGATTAAAACTACTAATTACCTTAAAAATGCATCAATCATTACTAAGAATTATCTCTATCGAGTCAGAAAAATCAGTATGACCTCTGGACTGTGTGTGTTTTAGTTACTTCGGCCTGAAATCAGAAACCTTTTGGTATATTTGTATTCTTTGAGCTCAGAGAACACAACTTCTATGCGTGCTTCTCTGTTATTATTATTATTGTTCCGAGCGGAACATAGGGCTCCAGCAGCACGTCTTCATTTCATCCTGTTCCCTGCGATCCTCTTAAGCCGGCCCCACATTCGCCTATATCCTCACCTCGTCGCACTGTCTCCTCCATGTCGCCCTTAGACGTCCAACTCGTCGTTTCATATTCGGGTTCCACTCGAGCGCCTGGCGCGCGATGTTAACGGACGGTCATCTCTGCGTATTCCCAATGCATCTCTATTTTATCCGACACATTTGTTGAGGAATAGGCTGTTGGCCAGTTTGTTCACATATTTTCTTGTTACTGATTCTTTCTGGCCATTTGATCTTCAGTATGCAGCCAGCTAAGACAGTTGTTGATAAAAGTCTGCAACCTGTTGGAAATGCTTTTCGTGACACGCCAAGTTTCTGATCCCTATAGAAGGACCGATTTGACATTGGTGTTGAGAATTAGAATCTTGTTCCTTATGCGGAGGAGTGCAGAAGATTTCCAAACTAGTCTCAGATTGATGAAGGCGTGTCTTGCCTTTCCGATTCTGACTTTGACATCATCCGTTCCAACTACCTTTGGCTGAAACTATACTTCCCAGATAAGTGAAGGAATTAACCTCTGTTAAATCTCTCCCTTTAATGGAAATTGGTGCTGGTTGTTGTTGTTTGGTTGGTTATTCATCTTCGTTACCTCCGTCTTCTCAATGTTCACCTACAGTCTTGTCTTCGCTGCCTGGTTCTTCCTCCGGTTTGTCGCTTTTCGCCTGTAAGTTTTCGAGTTTGTGTGACATTATACATGTATCATCTGCGAAATCCAGATCTTCTAGAATCTTCTTATCGCTGGTCCAGCGTATTCCAGTCTTCTCGCTCCCCTCTCATGATGTGCCGCATAATCCAGTTCATCACATTTAGGAATACCATCGGTGATAATAGGCAGAATTGTCTCACTTTTGCCTTCAATTCAAACACCCCTCCGAACTTTCGGTTTTGGATCAGCTGACACGTGGCATTGTTATATAGCCACCTGTTCAGTAAGTTTGATAAAGAAGTAGCGTTGCCGTAGCTTACAAATTACCTCGCGGTCAGGCTATGGAAGGCTTTTTCGAAGTCGATGAAGTTGAGACGGGGATTTGACTGCCATCACATGCCTTGTTTGATGATGATGCAATTTCATCAGCACGTGACTTGCCTTTCCTGAATCCAGCTTGTTCTAGGCTGGCAGAGTTCTGTATCCAATCCATCTTTTGTTGTCTCAAGAATGATATGACATAGTATTTTACTTCTCGTGGACAGGAGCACTATTCCGCGCCTGTTCTTGCAGAAGCCTAACTTGTTCTTCTTTGGTAGTTTGACGAGGTAGCCTTTCTTCCAGTCACTAGGCAACTTTCCATCCTTCCAAACTATTTGCAGCAGTGGTGTGAGCACATCCACTGTGGTCTCTGAGTCCGTTTTCAGTGTTCGAGAGGGGAATTTCATTTGGTCCTGCTACCCTTCCAGACTTCAGTAGCTTAAAAGCATTCAAGATTTCCTCTTTTGTGCTAAGCAGTGTTTACTGTTGGTGGTATCTCTGAACAGGTTTCAGGTGATGGTCGATTCAAGAGTCGTTTAAAGTGATCAGTCCGTTGTTTTATTTGTTTCTCCTCCTTGATAATTGGGTTCGCTTCCTGGATTGAGACTTGGTATAATGTCCTGGGGTCTCTTTTATTATTTTTTGAATACAACTTGATGCCACACCGTCTTTTCAGTACAAGTATGGAATTTTCAGCATGGATATCGGTAGCCCGAATTTTGCAGGCCGACCATAGATATTGGGTGTGCGTCGGCAGGGGATCGAACCTCGGACCATGTGCATGGTCGGGGAGAGTCCTAACCACTGTGCCACCTGCGGCCAGCCTGTTCTGCTTCGGTCACCAGGCAGTGTGTCGTAGAATTGTCTTTCCTAGCACTTTTCTTCACTTCTTTATTCACTGCAGTGTACATTGAACTCAGCTTCTCCTTCTGTTGTCCATCTCTTCATTGAGTCATCTTCTCTTTCACCATCCCCCTCTCCTCGATTAGCTTCCACGTACCCGTTAATAGCCATTCCTTATCCTGCCTCTTCTTCTCCCCAGAACGGTTGTGCACATTTCCTTGAACATCACCTTCAGAGAATTTCAATTTTCTTCCACACAAACTTCCTCAGTGATGCTACGTAGTATCTCCTAGTTCACTCTGATAGCTGCAGCAAATTTGTCTTTTTTAAATTTGTTCTTCTGTTTCTGTATGTTGAACTTGAAGTATGTTCTGCTTCCAGTTGTTTTGAAGGCTTTCAGATGGACTTTGAAGGTTCCTTCAACTAGATGATGGTCTTAGGCCACATCTTCTCGACTTTGTGTCCGGCAATCTCCGTCTCCACTTCCTTGAGATTGGAATGAAATCTATTTGGTTAGTGGTATGTTCATCAGGCGAAATCCACGTTGCTTATTGTATATCCTTGTGTTTGTACGCGCTCTCTCCGATCACCATATCATTGAAATTGCAGAAGTCTGCGAATAATTCTCCGTTGTCATTCATTTCTTCGAGAGCCTCTCGATCCATGATTAGTTCTCTTCCTGTATTATCTGCTCTCACGTCGGCTGGCATTCATATCGCCCATGGATGTTGTCCATTACTGTTTGCAGTCACCTATAGAAATTTTCCTTCTCTAGTTCCGAGTCGTTTGTAAGTGCGTAGCACTGGATAACTGTATCCCTCCTTACTTATGATTTGAACTGTACTGTCGTAATCCTGGAAGAGATTGGGTCGCACTGCATTGGCTGCTGTTAGTGACATCATGACAGCTAATTCCTTGGTGTGCTCGTGTTTGTCGTTTGAGTGGCCGGAATGGATTAGTGACTCTCCAGTTGACAATTTTGATAGTCCACATCCATTCCATCTGCTCTCTCAGGTTCCCACTACTTCCGTGCCGTATTTTCCCATTTCTTTGGCTACATGGGCAGCCTTGCCAGCTTCGTATTTTGTAGAAACGTTCCATGTCCCTACCATTAATTTTGCTTTCATCAAGAGAAGACATATCGGCTGACTGGCTTTCCGAAGGTTTTCACCAGCCCGCGTAATTCTGTCTCTCTAACTCTAGTGAAAATAAGTTTGCTTTTTAGATTTTCAATATTTTTCACGTGCTTTGAAGTTTCTGTGGCAGTTTAACTGAATTTTCGGGTTAGGGTCTCTAGACCTACGCGCAACCTTCCCTCTTTACTCAGGGTTGCGATTGGCTAGAAAACTAGCAAGCTAGTAAACTAAGAGTGGTTGCGTGCTTCTCAATGGCTCCTCAAACTCCCGAAAAGCTGCAGAGTATGAAAGTGTATCCCAGTAAAATCAAAAACACGATTTGATATGATAGAACCTACGGTACTACTCAACAGTAATGGCTTACATCAAAATTACAAAACTACTTCGATGACGTCATAGGTCAGTTACACAGTCCATAACTTTGCGGGTAGGAGAATCCGGACCGCACAACAAAATTAATTGACTGAACACATTTTTGAATAGCCTGAGAATTAATAATGATATCCCGAACGAGTTGGGATGAAAATTCTTTTCTTAAGAACCAAGCTGAACAACTCCGTTCCCCGCAGGTATTTTTGGGTCAAGCGATGATCCCACAGCGTAATCTTCACTTCACTAGGACAAAATTGCTGTCGCACAGCATTACATTATCATTATACGATTGCAAAGAGAAGCATTAAAGATAGGGATAGACAGAAGCTAAGACAAATGAAAGCAGATATACGGATGTTGGGACTATATTATACAGCAGTTACAAAGTTGGTTGGTTACAACATCCCCCTCTCCCATGAAGTGGCAAAATTAACATGAATGTGATTAGCAATTTCAAAATTTAAACAAATGCTGCTTTTATAACTTTATACACTTATCAGATTCAACAATCTACACTTGGTTTTGTTATCTTTACCAGTTGGCCAACTTGACAACGTAAAAATTGCCCCTTGCTGTTGGAAGATAATTAAGTTGTTATATATAAGCTCAGATTTTGTAAATTCTGGTTTAATAGTACTTTGATAAAGCTATTAGCAACATTAAGTAAAGAAACGTCAATAAACACAATATCGTTTTGTTTTTCCTTGACTGGGAAATACAAAAACTTTTCAATAATGAATATCACATACCCAAAACCAAAATTTTTTCAAACTTTAAAGTGAACTTGGTTTGAATGTATATAAGATAGTTGAAGTATCCAAATAAGTGTCAATATTGTAGAGATATATTATTCACGAAGGGATATTCAGATAAGCTTTTCTGCTACACTTGGATAAGTAATGACTGTACACTTACTACAACTCTGCACTGT